AAAGAGAGACAGCGAGTAGTTAAAACTTAAAAAACAACAATCAATCTAGCAGCACTCTTAAGGACCAACAAAACATGTAGATGGTGAGAAACAAGCTAAATTAGAAGGGTGATCAGAGGGCATGTATAATATCTGAAACTAACACATTTTTATGTTTGTTAGTGTCCTTTTTAAGCTCTCTGTTCATGTGAATGCTTTTCAGAGCTAAACTGAAAATCTAAAACATAAACAGAATGATTTCCATGCAGAGTATTGGTGATTGGTTTCCAAGAGCTGTCAGCAGCTCTGGTTTTGTATTATGTTGAAGATGGTATGTGGCAGGTGGAGCTGTACCTTTCCTGACAAACTCCCTCCCTCCCTCAGTGGACTGCTTCAGACTATCTGCATATCCCCTCTGAATTAGGCTCATGAAACCATATGAATTAGGCTCATGAAACAGTAGGAAATTGATAGAATCTGGCTTCATATTATTTCTTTGGCCATGATAAACTGCAGAGTGTCATCTTGACTCACAGCATCCAGGAAGAAATATATTCGATCTTTATTTACATTAGAAAATACAAATGACCACAAGTGCTTTCAGTAAGCTGTCTGAAATATTTGTTCTTGACATTTAGCTGAAGACTCTAGAAAATTACTCATAATCCAGTGACCTTGAAATGCTAAGCTTATACCTCCTGTTGCTACAAGTTGGGCCATGATATGTAAATCTTTTCAGCTTACTCATGCAAACATCCGTGGAGCGGCTCCCATGAGTTAGGTGGGAAGGATCCTGACTTTTCTCTCTCTCATTGAAATATTCCAGCAAACATTCAGAGAGAGAGAGAGAGAATCTGGCTTTTGTTTGTGCTTTGAGTAAGGATGACTGAACCCCGAGGTTTAGAGATTTGCTTCAGTTTTGGATAAACTCTCAGGTTTGAATATTTATCTAAACTATTCAAACCAGTCCAGTCTGCAGACTTGAATGTAGATCTTGGAAAACAAGTTATCAAATGAAAGTTCTTATGCTTTTTTCCCAGTTGGAAATGTCAAGTTCAAGTCTGCAGACTGGACTGTAGATCTTGGAAAACAAGTTCTCAAATGAAAGTTCTTATGCTTTTTTCCCAGTTGGAAATGTCAAGTCAAATTTATTAATGGCAACTTAACCGTTGTTCAATACGCAAAAAATAAGCTAGCAGACTTACCCGGGATTGTCCAGGTACTTCAAAGCAGGGAGCTGGTGGTGTGAGGGGAGTGTAGGAGCCAGGTCAGGGGCTTGGGGTGGTGAGGGGGGTAGGAAGCGGGGGTGGAGGAGGTGTAAGAATGAGGCTTAGCACATGAAGAGAGACTCAAGGCAGGAAGTCCCATCCAGTACAAGCCTTTTCTCTCTCCCAAGACCTCCCCCAGCCACCATGGGCCTTTTATCTCCCCCAACTCCTGCCTCTGGTTGCCAGGAACTGTTTTTTTTTCTTTCAGGACCTTCTGTGTGCTAGGGGCCTTTTCTCTCCCCACCTTCTAGAGCTGCTGCCAAAAGCTGGGAGGGGGCAAGGGCTTGGGGTAGGAGGCTATTTAGCCAGTGTACTGGTAGGCAAGCTTTGCTGGCCATTCCCTTGATACTCCCAGTATCGTGTCCATCTGAATAGCCCAGCTCCTCCCTTTCCAAGTTATTGAAAACAGTCCCTTTCCTCTAGCTTCTGGTTGTCCTGGCACTGATCTTGCTTTAAATTATGATAAGAGGAAGCTGCATACCAAATTTGGTGGTCCTAACTCTTACCATTTAGGGGGAGTTCTTGAACAAATGGACTCGCAGATAGACACACAAACACACATCTGTAAAATATGTATGTAGACTAGCAGATTTCCCTGGCAATGTTTAGGTCCTTAGCTCATTTTTTATGAATGAAAAAATGTATTTATTTTATTTAAATGATTGTTTGTTTTTTTTCAAAAATACAGTGTTATTTTTATGAAGTTAATTTTTATTTTGGATTTCTTAAAAAGAGTTGTTAACATTTCTTTTCATTTTTTAATAATTTTTTAAAAATGGGAATTCCATCAAGTTTATTTTTTAATTTCAATTCTATCGACCATTATCATTTACTATGTTTCAACAAAAAAGGGCCCTAGTTAATGTGGTTTGCAATAACATTTTCTTCTAGTTTTCAAACCTTCAGCATTGATTTAGCTAAAACAGATCACTACTCCAAATTTCTCCTTTTTATCTTTGTTTCTGTAAGGTTTATTGAGAAGCAATCCTATACCAGCCTCATCTCATTTTTCTGACTCATCTTGGTTCTGTCTCTTTCAAGCATTCACTTGGTTACGTCAGTTTTGAAGACTGTACTTGCTTTGGTGATTCTGTCTCTCTTCTGTATGGTTCTATGAGAAGCATATATTCCAGGCACATTCCATTTTCTTGGAACAACCAAACTCTTATGTTGCTAAATGTTAAGAGGAAGCTGTATACCAAATTTGGTGCTCCTAGCTCTTACCATTTAGGAGGAGTTTTCAAACCATAATCATTGATTTTGCTATGCCAAAACCGAGCACCATTTCAAATTTGTCTCTTTTATCTCTCTTTGGTGAGGTTTATTGAGAAGCAATCCTATTCCAGGTTCATCCTATTTTTCTGGCTCATCTTGGGTTAGTCCAGGGATGAAAGTAACTTATATTTCTTACAGGTACTGTTGTATCACAGCACCTCTGGGGGGTGGGGCCTTTAGGGCAGGGGATGGGGAGTGGTTGTGATACAGGTACTGTTGTAAGAAATGTAAGTGTGGGGTGGAGTGCAGGGCAGGTGGTTGGTGTGAGGAAGGGCTCAGGGCAGGAGACTGGAGGTGTGCGGGCTTCAGGAGTCAGGGTGTGGAGGTGAGGAGGGACTGGGAGTGTGGAGGAAGCAGGAGTCGGCTAGGGATGAGTAGGTCTGACAGTAGGGGGCTGTGGAGTCAGGTCTTGGGGGAGTGAGGTGCGGCTCATGACAGCGGACTTGGAAAGTGTAAATGTGAGTGTATGTGATTAATTTGGATATAAAAAAAACATTTAACCAGTTTCGAATCTCAAGTTAAGTCTGGTTCACATTTAGAACAAAGGTATGGTTTGTTTGACATGAACTAGTTTGCCTATTCCCTATTTAAGGTGACCAGTAATTTTTTGCATATCTTTTGTAGATCAGCAATCTGCAGAGGGATTCAAGCCAAGTCTTGTGCCATTCCCTCTCTGAAAGAGACCTAGAAATTGCAAACTTGAAAAAAGAGTGTGAGAAATTGAAGAGGAACCAAGCTCTAACTACAGGTATATTTCCTCTGACATCTCAGGTTCCATAGTGTACTTTATCATGCAGTTGCTAGAGCTAGCATTGAAATTAATACACAAGAGACCCTTATGGTTCGCAGAATCACTATTCACGGTTCCAAGTATTCGTGGGTCTCCTGTGCTGGCCTGCTGTGGGGCGGAGAGGGCAGGCTGAGAGCCAGAGGGAACTCAATGTGGCTCCCAGTCCCCACAGTGAGTTCGGGAACCACGGGGAATTCACCATGGAGACTAGGAGCTGTGGTTTCCAGTATTTGTGAATGGTGAGGGTTTCCTGTAATTTAGCAGTGAAAAATGTGCACTTTAAAACTTTTCTGGCCTGAGATTATTTTTAGTGGCTTTGTGGACCATCTAAAGTTGTTTGTCCCTTTTTTCTATTTCATTTTAACCTCTTTGAGGCTTAGAGGTTAAAATGACTAGTTCTGCTGACAGAACTAGTAGAGTACAAAAATAAGAAACATTTGTACCAAAACCTGGGTGAGTTGTAGGACAGATGGTTTATTTAAAAAAATCTCTCTCTCAAGGGCCCTATCTCAGAGTGTAAATCATTTTCTAGCCTTCATTTTGTAATAATATAATATTCAAAGGACTTTAACATTTACGCCAAATGCAGAGTGTGTTTAGTCCTATTAGCAAAATCATTTCACTCAATCTCAGTTTTCCAAAAGCAAACAGAGTATGTAATATTTACTTATGCCAGTCTACAGGGACAAGTCATCAAAGTTTCAGACCCAAGCATAGTTTTTCAAGAAAAAACTGATCTGTGAGAGAGTTCTTTTTGCCCCAACTAAATAGGATGAAATTCAATAAGGACAAATGCAAAGTACTCCACTTAGGGAGGAACAATCCATTTTACACATACAAAATGGGAAATGCCTGTATAGGAAGGAGCACTGCAGAAAGGGATTTAGGGGTCATAGCAGATCATAAGCTAAATATGAGTCAACAGTTTGACACTGTTGCAAGAAAAGCAAATATTCTGAGACACGTTAACAGGAGTGTGTAAGCAAGACACAAGATGTAATTCTTCCACTCTACTCTGAGCTAATTAGAACTCAACTGGAGTATTGTATCTAGTTCTGGGCGCCACATTTTAGGAAAGATGTGGAGAATCTGGAGAAGGTCCAAAGAAGAGCAATAAAAATTATTAAAGGTTTAGAAAACATGAGCTATGAAGGAAGACTAAAAGAACTGGGGTAGAAATGTAGCCGTGTTAGTCTGGTACAGCTGAAACAAAAAACAGGACTGTGTAGCACTTTAAAGACTAACAAGATGGTTTAATAGGTGATGAGCTTTCGTGGGCCAGACCCACTTCCTCAGATCAAATAGTGGAAGAAAATTGTCACAACCATATATACCAAAGGATACAATTTAAAAAAAAATGAACACATATGAAAAGGCCAAATCAAATTTCAGAACAGAAGGGGGATGGGGGGAGGGGGAGGGAGGAAGGTAAATGTCTGTGAGCTAATGATATTAGAGGTGATAATTGGGGAAGCTATCTTTGTAATGGGTAAGATAATTAGCGTCTTCAAATTTGAGTGTAAAGTGTTGAATTTAAGCAAGAATGACAGTTCAGAGGATTCTCTTTGAAGTGAAGTCTTAAAAGGTCTTTGAAGCAGGATGCAGGTAATCAAGTTGTTGAGACAATGTCCTTTCTGGTTGAAATGGCAAGAAACTGTTTTTCCTTTGTGGTCCTATTTGATATCTGTTTTGTGGGCATTGATCCTTTGGCGACGTGTCTGAGACGTTTGTCCAATGTACATAGCAGACGGACACTTTCAGCACATGATAGAATAAATTATATTTCTGGATGCGCAGGAATATGTGTTCTTAATCTTATAACTCACTTGGTGGGTCCAATAATGGTATCAGCAGAGTGAATATGTGGACAAAGCTGGCAACGGGGTTTGTTGCAAGGGAAGGTACCAGGGTTGGTATTAGTGTGGTATGTCCTGTGGTTGTTGGTAAGAATCATCTTGAGGTTAGGTGGTTGTCTATAGGAGACTATGGGTCTGTCTCCCAGAGCCTCTCAGAGTTTAGTATCCTGTTCCAGTATAGGCTGTAGTTTATTGATAATGTGTTGGACAGGTTTAAATTGGGGGGCTGTAGGTGATGACAAGTGGTGTTCTATTGTTGGTTTTCTTGGGTCTGTCTACAAGTATTGGTTTCTAGGTATTCGTCTGGCTCTTTCAATCTGCTTTTTTATTTCTCTGGGTGGGTAGTTGAGGTTTATAAATGCTTGGTAGAGATCCTGAAGTTTCTGGTCTCTGTCAGTGGGATTAGAGCAGATGTGGTTGTATCGAAGGGCTTGGCGTGATAACAGCTTTCAAGAACCTAAAAGGATGTTACAAGGAGGAAGGAAAAAAATTATTTTCCTTAACATCTGATGATAAACAAGAAGCAATGGGCTTAAATTGCAGCAAGACAGGTTTAGATTGGACATTAAGAAAAACTTCCTCATTGTCAGGGTAGCTGAGCACAGGAATAAATTGCCTAAGAAGGTTGTAGATATTTAAGAACAGGTTAGATAAACATGTCAGGGATGATCTTGATAGTGATTGGTCCTGCCTTGAGTGCAGGAGACTGGACTTGATGACCTCTCGAGGTTCCTTCCAGTAGTAGAATTCTATGTAAGTAGCATACTCTCCAGAGCACTGAATTCCTTGGGACTAATGGTCACACTGAATAAGTCTCAGAGTATATGGACTAAATTTGGGTCTTCTTTCAAAGCCAGATACTGTTAATATATGATAAATATTTATTCTTTTTCAATGTTTATATTATGATATTATTGTTTAGCAGATTTTCATAATTGAAATGTCTTTGTATTTGTTGACCTAAATTCTGTTCTTCACAGGACTGGTGACCAGTTTGCAAAGAGACATTTCAGCAAAGGAGCAGAGAATACTACAACTAAAACTGAATGCAGATAAACTGAAGAAGGAAAACAGGGAGAAAGATAATCAGCTTGCTGTCGTTTCTGCCAAGGTTGACACCCATGCTTAATTGCTCTGTTATTTATTATGCTACAAATGGTTTAGTAAAATAATAACAAAATGGACCCAGTTCAGCTACTCCACTGATTTCACCAGAATTTTACAAGAGCCAAATTTTGGCCCATATCTATAGTTTCTGTATTTGTACAGTAGATTCATACTAGACAAGAACTAAGAGTCAGGGGAACATCCTGCCCACCCATGACCCTAGGCACTTACTTGGGTGGTCCTAACCCATTTTGTTATCACTTCATTGCTGTTATTTCAGCTACTTTTGATTTAGCTAGATTAAAGCTAGCTTGGGACTAGCTACATAGTTTGAATCACACCACCTGATTTCAATGTAGATATACTTCCTCATCCTCTTAACGTCAGACTTCAATTTTACCAGTGGAGGGTCTGCATCAGTTTCCAATTTTATTCTGCCATTCCTATGGATGCGGTTCAAGATTTTAATGTGACTCTGGCACACTGAAACCCCATATGCCCTCCATAGTGAATTCCACTGAATAGCACTGGGTTCCTGCTAAAAGTACATTCCCCAGGCGCTAGCCTATAAGTCTTTTTTCCCCTGCCACCTGCTTCCAATTTTAGCAACAGTACTTTATTTCAATCCAATGAAAATCCTTTCCACAGTCTGCATAATCAATCTCCTGCAGTTTAGCAAACCTCTCCAAGATTCTCTCAAAGAAAGCTTGTCTAAAAGAAGGACCCCACCCCCAAAACTCAATGTATAAGCTTCTGCCCAACAGGTTTGCTCACTACCTTTGCTGAGCTATTCTGACAGCTCTGCTGCTAGGTAGTGGCCATATTCTTGTGATAACATCTATATCACAACCATGAGGCAATGATGCCAAATTCAGCATTTTGCTGCTGCTGCTGCCTCCAAATCCAGTGGGAGCAGCCACTGATCTTCCCAGTACAATACTGAAAGAGAGCCATCCTGAATGCTCTGTTCCCTGACAAGCAAACCAAGTGCCCAGCAACGTCACCAGCAAACTTCCTAGTTCTGCCTCAGAAGAGAGTTCTATGGCTCCTCTAGCCACCTAAGAGGAATAGCATTTTCCCTGCCAGGCTGGACATTATAGGGAGGGAAGAGGAGTCCAAGCAGGCGGACGTAGATTTATTAGTGCATGTGAGCACATTCGTGTGCCGGTCAAGAGGAAAGCAAAACCAAACCACTTTGTCAAAATGTGGAGCTACTTTTTGATGGTGTGAATTGGATAATTCTGAGACATGAACAGAGTCTGGGTGGACATTGGGAGTGTACAACTACCTTGTGGTGGTGGTGATTGTTTAATCTGACCCTTCTCTGAGAGCTCATCTGGCTCATCCGTCTCCGCTTTTAATCAGGGAGCTGTATCTTCACCGTCATCAAGTATCTGATACTTCCTAAAAGGGTTACTGTACAAGTATTCTCCAGCAGGAGAAATTTTTCCTCTCGTACAGCCTGGATTTCAGGGACCCTGTGTTCAAGCCCCTTTACTGTCCTCTCTGTCTGAGTGGGGTTTTTTTTTTGTTTGTTTGTTGTTTGGTGCTTCCAATTTGATTCAACTCTGACAGAAGTCAGTGGAAGTCTGAGCCATGTTGCTCAGGTATTACAGTGATGAGGGCCATGCATATATGCAGAGAGATTCATTGTAGTGGAATCAGCAAGTTATAGGATATTTTTATGGATTCTTCTTTTCCAGAGTTCTAGTTTTCATCTATGATTTTTCCTAGATCTTCTCCCTCTGTGTGGTGTGATGCTATTTCTATGAATCATCTCTGGTTTGCTGTCCAAAATACTTGCATCGGGTTATTTCCAAATAGGGATTTTCTACTTCTAGATGCAATCCTATTGCTCTGTCTCACAATCAAGATTGCTTCTGATTTCTTCAATTCTTTTCTTTAAGAAAGCTGCTGTATGCCTTTTCCTAAACATGTCCTGTATATTTACAAAGATGCTGCCCTCAAGCTGTGCCTATACTTTTTGCAAAATAGCATAATCAAATCAAATGTAGAGCTGATGCTTGATTTTGATCAGGCTACATTACAGAATATTGTGACCCAAATCCATGCTATTATTTTGTAGTTTTCAAGCACTGAGGGAAGGAAACTTCAAAAACCAAGCATATTGGATTTCTGTGACCTAAGAAATGTTCAAAGAATCCTCACTCGTCTGTCCATGTCCCCTTCAATTCAAATCTCCCCTGCCCCAAAACCACGCTGCATTGATTGAAACACGGGAGGGATGAATTATGCAAGATGCATATTTATAGATGAACGGGAGCAACCAGTGGTGCAGGAATGAGAGTGTACTGTTGAGAGTTTGAACGGTGGGGTTTCCCAGAGTTCCACGGTGGCAAGTTTGTAAAATTCCTAAGGAGTAGACAGCTGTAACAACAAATTACCAATTAATTATAAATAGCCCAGTTTTCTTGCCTCTAAATAAAAAAAATGTATTTCCTCTCCATTCCTTCTGGGTTGGATTTTTGGATCAGTTTGTTCTGTTTTAAATTGGAAGCCAGAAAGTATCTGATGGTTAGAGGCATATGGCACAAGGGTTCATTGTAAGAACATCTGACATTCTTAAAAATAGCTAGCTCCTAAGTTCCCTGTATGATTCAGTGTAGATAACGCTCCATCACTGAACACAGGAGTTGATGTGCTTAGCAGTTTACAGGAGTCACTCGGCTTCTCTTCGGATAAGGTCTCTATAATCCAGACTCTACTATGATACTGTGTAACACTACAGACAACAGGGATCTTTCATCACGTACAAATTCCGCTGCAAAGATACAACACTTCCTTCAAGCTGATAGCATTATATGGCTGGCCTTCCAGGCCATGATGTATGAGGTGTTCTTTCAAACCAGTGAGATTTGTGATGAAACAAAAGGCTGCAGGATAGAGCTGTAGGGATTATGGCAAACAAATAGTTGCACAAAGGTGCACTAAAAGCAGCGTATTTTGTGATGTAGAGCAACTCAACACCCACTTTGTCCCCTCATGTTAATTTCAATGCCAATGTGGATAGATGAGAGGTAAATTTTTAATAGTGTATTTATTGAAAGATGCAATTTTGGGTAGATCAAAACTGTTCACGCATTTGTTCACGCAAGTTCAGCTAACTGTTTGGCTTCTGAAAAATGGGAGCTGGGGGAATTCTGAATAAGTCAGCGACCTTTTGTGTCAAAACAAGTTTGTATCAAAATGTAGCTGTAACATTTAAAACCAAAGGCTTAAAAGCACTAGAAAACTAAATAAAATGTTTTGTTTCACCCCTAATGATTTTTTGTTTTGTTTTTCATTTCAACAAAAAAAATAAAAAAAATTATCATTTCAGATTCATCTGAATCAAAAGTTGATTGGGATTTGTTGGTTTACCTGTCAAACTGAAAAAATCCAGTATTCATAAAGCACTAGTGGGGGTGGAGAGATTGTGTAATTTCTTTTACTGGGCCATGAGGCATATGCTTATATGCAGGAAAAACAGAATTCTTACACAGAGATCTATCACAGAACTTCTCTCCATTATTTCCCTTGTTGGGTGGCTTGCAGAGAAGCCTCTTCATGCGTTCTGGAAAGAGCCAAATTCAGAGCATACAACTGTCACACTACTCTACCCTATGTCTAGGCCCTACCAAATTCACAGCCATGAAAAACATATCCTGGACTGTGAAATTTGATCTCTCCCGATGAAATCTGGTCTTTTTTGTGCTTTTACACTATATTACACAGATTTCACAGGGGAAGACCAGTATTTCTCTGATTGGGGATCCTGACCCAAAAAGGAGCTTTTGGAGTTGTATGGCCAGAGAGCGGCAGCTGTTGGCCAGGTGCCCAGCTTGGAAGGTAGTGTCCTGCCAGCAGCAGCACAGATGTAAGGATAGCAGAACCACAAACTCCTGTATAATAATCTTGTACCACTTTAATGCATTTTGGTTGTGGACTCCCACAATTACACCACCATGACATTTCAGATTTAAATATCAGAAATAATGAAATTTATGATTTTTAAAAGCTATGACCATGGGCTTTCTGATGTGTATATACACATGGGCTGTGTCTACATTGGCACTCTTTTCCGGAAAAGGGATGCTAATGAGACCAGTCGGAATTGCAAATGCCCCGGGGATTTAAATTTTCCCCGCGGCATTTGCATGAACATGGCTGCCGCTTTTTTCCGGCTCAGGGCTTTGCCAGAAAAAAGCGCCAGTCTAGACAGGGATCTTGCGGAAAATAAAGCCTTTTCCGGAAGATCCCTTATTGGTGCTTTTCTCCGGCAAAGCCCCGAGCCGGAAAAAAGCGAAAGCTATGTTCATGCAAATGCCGCGGGGAAAATTTAAATCCCCGGGGCATTTGCAATTCTGACTGGTCTCATTAGCATCCCTTTTCCGGAAAAGGGTGCCAATGTAGACACAGACATAGAGGTCAGAATTTTCCTCGTTATCTGAACGTCTGATAACATTTGGTCCTATAAATATAGCCAGTTTCTCTAGCTTAGTATACACTAGCTTAGAACATGCATGTGATGTATCATGTATTCGTTTTAAAATTTCTGTTTAATACTAGTTCCAATCATGTTACTTGTTTCAAAAAATTCTTCTATTCCTTTCTTCCTTACCTCTGCATTTTCAGTGGCACTCTTTTTCTAAAGCACCAGGGATTTGCATTGCATAGCGTTGTTTACTATTAATCATTTTTCTGATTTTCTGGCAGGAAATGCTTTTCTAAAAATCCAATCCTGAAAGGTGCTGTGCAGCCTCTTCTCTCATTTATTTTATTATGAGTCGAGGACACTCAGCAACCAGTAGTATTGGGCTCTTACTGTGGTGCCATACTATTTTGGTTTGTGCTCAGCATAACATAAAAATAATCATATCTTCCTTGCTTGATGATTTTTTCCTTGGTTGCCATTCATTCCAGTGTTCTAGAATTAAAGAGGAAATGAAGCATGAATTCAGAGAGAAAGAAGTAATTACATACCAAAATGTGAGTTAGTCTTTTTAGTTTTTAGTTGTTTGGGTTGTTTTAGCACATAGGCAAGCAGCAAACTGAAATGCTGCATCCCTGAGAGAATAATTAACTAGACATATGATGAATTGTATTTATAGTCCAGTTCTTGTCATGAAAAGGAATGTAACTGCATAACAGCTTGGAGAAATGTTGACTCCTGGAATATTTTAATAGCAGTTTTCAGTGAAGTGGAATTCTATTTGAAATAAGATTTAAACTACAATTGACCAGTGCTCGCTATATTATTATTTTTTTCATGTATTTGAGTTTAGAGCAAACCATCAGAGGTAAATGAAACCATAAATCTGCCTGTTTTTGTTTACTATAAATGAAATGTTACTCCTTAAATGCCTAAATTAAACTAATGATTATTTTCTCCCAGGTCTGTAAATCCAATTTTTATTTTAAAGGTTTAGAATATGCAATAACTGAATGACTCAAATTGTTTTATAAAACAAAAAAGATCTTGAAGTAAATATATTGAAACTAGGTAAGTGGAATGATTACATTAAGTAGGATGATTTACTATTTTGTGTGGGTGATTCCATTTTATGGGCACTTTTGCAGCACATTGGAGAGCTGGAGCTGCAAGTGAAGGGACTGCAAGAAGAAATTCAGAAAAACTGCGCTGAACAGGAAATTATAACAAGTAAACTTGCAGAAAAAACAAAGGTAAGTGTCTATGCTGCCAGCCAGCTTCTCTCTTATAAGGTACAATCCTAAAAAGAAAAGTTATATTTCTGAGTAAAGGGAAGTGTGAAATTTCAGGCTAATGTAGTCTTGACATTGGGAATGGATTTCCTGACTGCACTGTGGTGGGAAATACCATTGCACAGCACCAGTACCAACTTTGGGCTATACAGATTCTTCTTTGACAGTGACATGCCTGCTTTCCCCCTTGCACATACCTTTTTGGAGACCCACTGATTAGGACTCATCCCAGCACATGAAGGATGGACTCCCTCGAGGAAATTCCTTACTGCTTTTCCAACTGGGCTGCAGCATTTTTCCTGCTTTGAGTCCTAATGTATCAGGAGAGGCCAGCTCAAGCTTTGGGCTAGCCTCTGCAGTACAAGTGCAGGTGCTATGCTTGCAGCTGTGTTTTTCCCCTTGAAATACAGGTTGAACCTCTCTGGTCTGGGGCTCTTTGGGCCAGCAATATCTGTAGTCTGGCAGAAGCCCCTGGACCAGAGAGCTCTGATGCCATTGGGCAGCTTCAGGGATGCAGAGAGCCAGCAGCCCTGGGTCTGGCTGTGGAGCTCCAGCGGCCCAGGGAAGAAGAGCCCCAGTGGCCCAACACTGGCCATGGAGCTCCAGGGGCCCTAGAGCAGCAGAGCCCCAGCAGCCCTGGGACAGCTGAGCACCAGCAGCCCTGGGGCAGTGCAGTGGTAACTCCAGGGCAGCAGAGCCCCAGCAACTATGGGGCAGCAGAAACACGGTGGCCCCAGAGCAGCAGAGTCTGGCAGCCTTGGGGCAATGGAACTCCATCAACACCAGGGCTCACCAAGGAGCTGGGAGCCTGGTGGCCCAGGGGCAGGGGAGCCTGGCAGAGGGGCTGACCTCCCCTGGTCCATCAAACTCCCTCCTTTGGGACTGGTCAGGTCTTGAGAGTGCCGGACCAGGGAGGTCCAACCTGTAGCTTTTTAAACTTTTCATAGTGACTTAGAATGAAAATAAAATTAAGGTAAAATGTTTGAGAATTTAAAAGTGGAAGGCAGCTTGAGTTAAAGGTATCATTAAATGATAAAAGTTCATGATTCTAAGGAATGGTAAGAGGGACAACAGCAAAATAAACACTATGGATTTTAAGAAGACTGATTTTAGCAAACTCAAGCCAGGTCTGCACTGCGGGAGAAAGTTGAACTTAAAGAACTCCAGCTATGTGAATAGCATAGTTGGAGTCAACATACCTTAGCTCGACTTACTTTGTTTTGGTTTTCTCAAAGAAGGTTGGTGGTGATTGGATACTTAGCATAGCAAATGCTGATATAAATGGAGTAGGTTCAGAAGCTAAAATATGAAAAGAACAAGTTGAAAATTATTTAGACATATTAGATGTCTTGAAGTCATCACAGCCTGATAAATTCATTGTAGACTATTCAAGGAGCCGATTAAGGAGATATCTGAGCCATTAGCTATTATATTTGAAATGTCGTGGATTACAAGAGCAATTTCAGAAGACTGGAAAAAGGCAAATATAATGCCCCTCTATACAAAGGGAAATATGGAAATCCAGGGAATTAGACCACTCAATTTACCTTATGTAATGGAGCAAATAATTAAGCAACCCATTTGCAAACATCTAGAAGATAAGGTGATACATAACAATCAGCACAGATTTGTAAAGAACAAATTATGTCGAACCAACCTGATAGCTTTCTTTCACAGGGTAAGAAGCCTTGTGGATAAGGGGGAGGGGTAGTTGTTGTGGTGTATAATTTGTTATACTCTTGTATGACCTTCTCATTAACAAACAAGGGAAATGCAACCTAGATGGAGCTACTTTAAGGAAAGTGCATAAATGGTTGGATAACAATTCCCGGAGATCAGTTATCAATGGTTCACAGTCATGCTGGGAGGGTATAATTAATGGGATTCTGCTGGGATCCGTTTTGGGATGGGTTCTGTTAAGTATCTTCATTAATGATTTAGATCATGGCAAAGAAAGAGCACTTATAAAGTTTGTGGATGATACCAAGCTGGGAGGGGTTGTAAGTGCTTTGGAGGACAGGATTGTAATTCAAATGATCTAGACAAAAATGAGAAATGGTCTGGAGCAAATAGGATGAAATGTAATAAAGACAAATGCAAAGTACTCCACTTAGGATGGAACAATCAGTTGCACACATACAAAATGGGAAGGAATACTGCAGAAAGGGAGCTAGGGGGGTCACTAGAGTCGTATTGCCAGTGGTCCGTACTATCAGTGTTTCGGTGTCGTCTGATCCGAGTTCTCAGGGTTGTCCCAGTGTGCTCCTGACAGAACCTCTCCTCTTTCTGTGGTGATAAACTTTTGGCTGCGTGAGTCAATATCAGTGCTCCCTTTAGAGTGTTAGACCCCATGCACTTGGGTCAACACAGGAGATCTCCGAGAGCTGTATTCATGTTACAGGCCTCTATTCAGGCCTGCTGACTTCATATTACTGACCCTCAACTTACTAGAGGGGTCATAGTGCACCCCAAGTTAAATAAGAGTCATCAGTGTGATACTGTTGCAAAAAAAGCAAATATCATTCTGGGATGTATTAACAAAAGTGTTGTGAGCAAGAGATGCAAAGTAATTCTTCTATATTCTGCACTGATTAGGCCTCAGTTGGAATATTGTGTCCAGTTCTGGATGCCATATTTCAGGAAAGATGTGGAGAAATTGGAGAAGGTCCAGAGAAGATAAAATAAACAATAAAAATGATTACAAGTCTAGAAAACATGACTTATGAGAGAAGGTTGAAAGAACTGGGATTGTTTAGTCTGGAAAAGAGAAGACTGAGAAGGGACATAACAGCTTTCAAGTATCTAAAAGATTGTATACGGAGGATGGAGAACAAATATTTTTCCTAACCTCTGAGAATAGGACAAGAAGCAATGGGCTTAAATTGCAGCAAGAGAGGTTAGGTTAGACATTGCAAAAAGTTTCCTAACTGTCAGGGTGGTTAAGCACTGGAATAAATTACTTAAGGAGGTTGTGGAATCGCCATCATTGGAGATTTTAAATCGCATTTTGGATAGACACCTCTCTGGTTTAGATGATGTTTGATCCTGCCATGAGTGTGGGAACTGGACTTGATGAGCTCCTGAGGTTCCTTCCACTTCTTTTATTCTATCATTCTGTGTTTTTCTAGTATTTCTGCAATTACAAAAGATTCTAAAATTACTCTCTTAGCTCATTTACACTTTATTTCTATTTCTTGGGTGGTGTTTTGCTATAGTCCCCAATGTCATCTTAGTTTTCTTACTTCTATAGCTCTTTTGATAATGCTCTCCTTTTCCAAAGCAAGACTTGTGCAGCTCCAGCTGCAACTTGTGGACTTACAAAAGCAGAGAACCAGTCTGATGTTCCTGAGTATAATCTTGCCTCCTTGAAAGGCCTATTCAATGTATTCATAAGGCTATCACCTAGATTTTTCTTTCTGTGATCTCACTACTTGCTCTGCAATAAAGAATTCTTACTTTCTATGACTGCGATAGAATTATTGTGTCTAGTAATGATTTCCAACTTTGTTACTTTCAGTTCAGTGGCTGTTAATTATAACTGTATTTTGTTCCAAGATCATCAGCTTAAACCACATACACAGCATTTAGCACCTAGAAAATAGATATCTACCACCTGACCTAATGAATTACATTTTCTGTTAGTTAGTCATGCTATGACAGCTATAAATATATTTGCTGGCCAGCCACTACTGTCATAGCATGACTAACTATAAATATATTTGCTGGCCAGCCACTAGAGGGTAGGATAATGGCAGACTAACAAATACTTCAATAGGTCTGATTACATACACACGCACATACATCCCTGCTGGTATATTACACATGTATGGAGAATTAGATTTTTTTTTTTTTTAGATTTATCAGGTATACTGGTACTGCACAGAAATCAGAGGAGTTGTCTATATATTACTCGCTAGTCAGGGAGTCTACAGGAATTCCTGCTTTATGGACTTACTATAGAGTGGAGAACATTCAGTAAGAGTATGTCTACACTACAGTGTTTTTTTCGGAAAAACAGCCATTTTTCCAAAAAAATTTCAATTACGTCCACACTGCAATCACATTCTTCTGAAAGAAAATCGAAAGAACAAGGGATTTTCTGATATTGGTAATCCTCATTCTATGAAGAAGAAGCCTTTTTCCTAAGGAGCTCTTTTGGAAAAAGGCGTGTGTGGACGGGGAAGATGGAATTATTTTGAAAGAGGAGGAAAGAAGAAAAAGCACAGGCGGAATTATTTCGAAAGAAGAGGAAAGAAGAAAAAGCACAGGTAGCCAGTCCATTTATAGTAATCATAGCTTACATGTGAGATAGCATCCATTCAGCATGGACGCTATCTGTTGAAAAAGCTGATCATTTTTTCGATGTGCTTTAGCAGTATAGATGCTCTCTTTCGGAAGAAGTTTTTTCAGAAGAGCTCTTCCAGAAAAGCTTCTTCCAAAAGAAGCCTGCAGTCTAGACATATCTTGCCTGAGTCAGACTTTTATCTTGTACAAGAGGAGACTCAAATAGCTCCAGTACCAGAAACTTAATTTAAAACCATGAGCTGCGTGGCTAGAACTGCATGCCTGGTGAGCTACCAGTGACTTATAGCTAGGATGTTAAACAGCTTACGTATCCAGCATTGCAAATTCAAAAAAAAGTGACATTATGTGACCCCAAATTATAGGTGGACAATACTATTTTAATAAGGTTCCTGTAGATAATAATGATAGATCGGCTTATGACATTATTATACAATATCACTTTGATATTCAAGGGCTTTCACTGTTTCAGGCTGAAGAGGAATTGAAAAAGGAGTGTGAAAGGAAATGTCTGCAATTACAAGAGATGGGGCGCAGAGAAGGCCTCATTAAAGCTGACTTGGAACAGGCAAAAGCTCAGGTAGGGGTTGCTGAAAAGAAGCATTACTCTGTACTTTGCATTATAGCTACCAATAGAAGTGTAACTGTAGGAAAAAATGATTTGTAATAGCCATAAAAGCTACTGAAAGTTAGAGTGCCGGAGAGGAAATATAAACCTGGAGCACAGAGCTCTGTGGCTGTGACATTGGTTTGAATTCCAAATTGTGTGCATCATTGCTCAGTTATACTTGGGGCCATACCACATTCACAGTCCATATCTGAAATGTCACGGAATTGTAATTGTGGGATTCCTGACCAAAAAAGGAGTTGAGGATTACAAGGTTATTGTTGGGGTGTGTGCGGTGCTCCTACCCTTAATTCTGCATTGCTGCTGGCGGCAGTGCTGCATTCAGATTTGGGCAGCTGGCGAGCAGTGGCTGCTAGCAGGGAGCCCAGCTTTGAAGGCAAAGTCGCTGCCAGCAGCAGCACAGAAGTAAGGGTGTCACAGTATGATTTTGCTACCCTTCCTTCTGCACTGTTGCCTGCAGAGCTGTGCACTCAGTCAGCAATTGCCACTCTCTAAGCACCCAGTTCTGAAAACTGCAGCGTAGAAATAAGGATGGTTTGGTATGGTATTGCCACCTTTACATCTGCGCTACTGCTGGTGCGGGGCTGCCTTCAGGGATGGGCTGCCGGCCAGCAGCTGCCACTCTCTGCTGCTTAATTCTGAAGGCATCACATAAGTAAGGGTGCCAATACTGTGATCCCCCAAAAATTACCTTGTGACCCCTCTGCAACTCCTTTTCGGGTCAGGATCACAGGATTCCCTCTAATTTTTCCCACCACTGAGTGGAAAATGAATTTTCTTATGTGTGCCAATGTGGAGGTGATGTGCAAGACATCACCTTCATATTGTGCATATAACAAAATTCTTGTAGTGGAAGTGGAATCAAAGGATTCTGAGTATGAGAGGTGGCTCAAGGCTGGGACAGGGCTGGGACAGAGGTTTGGGGTACAAGGGCTCCGAAAAAATGCTGTTCTCCTCCAGGAAATCTATATAGCACAGGGTAAAAGCACACAAAAGACCAGATCATGATCTGTGACACATTTTTTGTGTCTGTGAATTTGGTAGGTCCCAGTTATGCTACACAGTGTGTTCCCATATTTCATTTACAGATGGCTAATGTTCATATGAAGCATAGGCATTATATGCTCCTTCTATTTTTTCTTTGTCCTCTCCATCACCCAGTCTGCATGTGAACCATCCACAACTGTTGCCTGCCTCTACTTAATGCAGAATGAGCCCTTTGTAAAGTACTTTTGTTTAAATATCTGCTCTCATGCAATTACAGAATGGTGCTGGCTACCACCATCATTTAAAAAGGTTATTTCTAGCAGGATTAACCAACGTTTCCTGTCTGATATGGACAGGGATACATTTTTAATCTGACAATCGTATTAGAGCAGTATTATAAAACCGTGCTATACTCTATCCTATCACTCCCATCTTCCTCTGTGGCACTATAGCCCAGTGTTGTTAGCAAGGTTCTTAGCAAAGAAATCCTGTTGACCTTGGTCAGAGAAACTCTGCTACAGCATTAAACGGGTGTATGCTAATTATCCACTGCTTTTGTGCCTAAAGGAGCAAGGGTTAATATAGGCCCTTACTAACAGTGAAGTCCTGTCAGTGTCGAACAGGATCCCACACAGTTGTCACAGATTGCAAACTCCTTGTCCCAGGCGAGCAGGTGTTCGTAGCTAGGCTGGATGAGAGACGGGGTAATGCTTTGTCACAGCCAAGGGAAGTGACAATACCGCCTAGCAAACAAAGTTATATTAAGCTCACTTCACGGGAAATGTTTATCATTTGTTTCTGAAAAATACACAGTGGGTGGCATTTTCAACCGCCTTTAGCACTGGCAATGGGAATTCTACTTTAGAAAATCCCACCCAGAACAAGCAGCCTAGCAACTTGTTTAGTCTAGCAGTCTCTCTCGTTTATGCCATTTGAAATGCTAGAAGAGCAGGAAGTTAAGACACATAGAGGGATCTTTGGAAAACTGCTTCAATAGCTGACACGTGCCTTTGCTCTCCAGAAACATTGTTATGAGTCTGGAGGAAAAATCATCAGAGGTGCCTTAGCAGTAGCCAGAGAGGGGATTCAGTCCGAGGCAGAGACCTCAGTCCAGCCCAGATTGGGGCTGACATGTTAATCAGAGGCTCCCAAGAGTACTCGACCTTTACCACATCTGTTACGATGGGCCCAAGTCTGCTTACAGTAAAATTCATGTCAAACTTTGTGTTTACTCTAATGGGAGCAGATTTGGACATCAGCTTTCCAGTGTAGTCGCTTGGTGGATCCTTTTGATTGTGTGTTTACTACTTATGCTGTTACATTCTTTTGTATTTTGTTTGCTGTTTTTCATGGGCGGTGGGTGAACCTAGGGCTGGGGGAAGGCAAACAGCCAGCCCCATCCCTGCTGCATGATGCCCGCCTCTTCTGCCCATGGCTTCCTTCTCCCCTCCTGCCATGGGAACTCAGCACCCTCCCTCTGCAGGGGCAGCTCCCCTCCAAAAGCAGGTGGTGCATAGCCCCAGACTCCAGCCTTCCCATCCCTGAGGCAGGGGGAGGTCAGTTGGTCCTAGCCTTTAAACAGCTGAAGCTCAGGGAGCCACACTGAAGTGGAGAGGTCCTGGAGGTGGAGTGTGGACAGACCACATCTGGCACTTGTGAAAGGCATTATCTTCCCTGCCTCTTAAACCCGCCGCCCATTCTGGTTTTACTGTAGGGATCCTTACCCTGTTTTTATGAACATATTGATGTTTCTGTTTTTATGCACACTTTCATCACATTCCTTCCCACATACAGTACTTACAAAAATGGCATTCATTCTTCAAGAATCACTTTTAACTCACTGTCAGTGATTTAACAACCCCCCTGGTGTCTCACTGTTGATTATACCCTTTAACTTAGTAGACTACATGAGTAGTATTATTAACTATAGTGTTAAGCTATCAATGTGGTATAAACTTACGAGTTAATAGTAGTGTTTGTTGTGGACTGTTCTGATTGTGAGCTGAATTTATAGCGTAGGGCAAGATCAAGTGTGCTTATTGGGCTCCAAGATCAACAATCATGGGCAGAATACCCTCAAAATTAATTCAAAATTACTATTCTTGCCCTCTGTAATTAATGAAAATGTTCATAGAACAAATTAATTATTAAACTGGCGTACCCTTCTAATGGATTTTTCAGTACTAGTATAGGCTAGCCAAAAGGAGTTTCTGTTGAATCTAGCTATTAGTGATTTCCTTTACTTTATCCATCTCTGCTTTAGCTGGACTGTTTCAAAAGGCAAATGATTGAAATCCTCTATTCACAAGAAGCAGAAATTCCAGAGACTGTAACAGATCAACAGGTTAGTTCAGGTGACAGCAAACACAATTTCTTGATGCTGTTACATTTTGGGGCCTTCTGATACTGAGGGAGCAGATCTTGATATTTGTTTACACATATTTATCTTGTTGGACCTCGTTTCCAGTTTTCAGACTCACTTCACCAGTTGAGAAACAAAGGTAATTTGCAATGTCTCCGTACCCATCCCAGACTTCTGGGGTTCTTTCCATGCAGACACCTGATACAAGGTGGCATATGATGCTGGTCCAACAGATGCTCATGAGCACAGAGCTAAGGTACCTTAATGGAGAATTTTGGAGCAGGGAAGTGGGGAGAGAGGGGGCTTGAATACTGTATGGATAAACTGCACATTCCTGGTAAATGGACCTGGTGCTGTATCTGAGTCTTATTTCACTAAAATACCAATTAAGAAAGGAAAGAGATCAATTGAGTAAGGTGTAGGTTAAAGAATGATTTACTGGTTTCACTTACAATAATATATAGAGTTGATTTTGTATTTAAGAAAAAATGTGATCATTTCCCCCTCCAAATCTGGGTTAATGACTTACTGGTTTCACTTAAAAAATCAACTGTATCTATTATTGTATTTAAGAAGAAATTTGATCATTTCCCCCTCCAAATCTGGGTTTGAGCGAATGTGCTTTAATAGGAAAATACACTTCCGGGTGGGCAGGATGGGTGATTTTTTTTTCACCAAATTACAGTTTGAATCCTAGATTTCCAAGACTCAGATAGTTTGCCCAAGCCTCAGGAGAGAGGCTCATTTTCTCTTTCATTTCAGTCTCCATGATCTGATGCTGACACTAACTGCATGGAAGTTCTACAAAATGGAGACAAATTGGGTTGCACATTAGAGACACACCTTGATCCTGCAAGGTGTTGACTGCTTTGGCCTTAATTCAGCACGGCACTTACACACATGTTTAAATATCAGCATCCCTTGAATTCAATACTGACTGGCATATAGATTTGGCAGTTAACTACTTAAAACTTCTCAGTTTGCATGCAGCAATCCTGCGTTGTTTGTGTGAAAATGATTTCAGATCACAAACAGTGCATGTACATTGAGATGCTGTTTTTGAAACTTGGCCCCCTGGTGATGGGATTTTCTTTAAGCCTATTCATACAAAATAGTTTCTCAGGCCTAATTCCCCTTAATTTCTCCTTAAAATTATTTAGGATTCTCAGGGCTGGCCTACAACATTTTGGCACCTGAGGAGGGGAGCTCAAATGACGCCCCCATGCCTCCTCGCTTGGGCCAAAACTTTGAAAGGTCTCAATTCTGCCTTCTTCCTGTTCTACTCCTCTCATGGCACTCCACCATCTCTGTGCATCTAGAACAGAGAGAATACATATGCACCAGCAGCAGACACAATTTTCTATACTCTGGGTTTTAGGTGCCCCCCCCCCCCTCCACACACACAGTCTGGCACCTGAGGTGGCTGCCTCAGTTCACCTCATGGTAAGGATTCTCAAAGGTATTTAGCCAGGAATTAATGGGAATTGGGCACCAAAATATCTTTGAGGATCTGGGCCTTAGTGATTAGTAGAGCACCAAACTATTTTAGGGTATGTCTACACTTGCAGCCTATTTCGGAACAGGGCTGCAAATGTAGGCCTTCAGAATTGCAAATATTTAAATATCCCGTGCTTGATTTGCATCTTCCCAGCCGGGCCATTTTTTGAAATTTACAAGCCCGGAATAACTGACTGCGTCTACATGTGGCAGTGAAATGAGCGTTCGAAATAAAGCCCTATTTCGAACTACCTGTTAAACCTCATTGCAGGAGGAATAAATCCACATCTACACGCGGCAGTGAAATAAATCCCTAGTTCAAACTACCTCTTATTCCTCCTGCAATGAGGGCTGTATTTCGAACGCTCATTTCACTGTCACATGTAGACGCAGTCAGTTATTCCGGGCTTGTAAATTTCAAAAAATGGCCCGGCCGGGAAGATGCAAATCAAGCACGGGATATTTAAATCCCGGGCTTGATTTGCAATTCCGAATGCCTACATTTGCAGCCCTATTCCGAAATAGGCTGCAAGCGTAGATATACCCTCTGTCAATTATTTTACACTGAATTAAGAATTGTTATGGAAAATGGAGGCTTATGTTTACCTGAAAAGTCATTCTTTTCAAGTGAAAATGGGTGTGTCTTCCATTTCTGTGCATTTATTTCTTCTTCTGTCTTCATACCCTTTTATCAGTTAATGGAAAAGATAAGAGAGATCATTGATAAAAAGCTGCAGATTCATAAAGAGAAGTTATTACAAGAGGAAATAAGTTCCAAGAACTCCAAAGAGAAGAAAGTATCTGAAAGCGTTGAGGTGTTGAAGAAATCATTGGATGAACTCCAGGTCACTGCTTTTAGTGCTTTTTGTATATTGAAAGTGAATTAGAAGATAATTCAGATATATATCACCTGATTGTCTAAAGCACAGACTTAATCTAGATGTTTAACTAGAGAAAGGATTTGCTGCATAGAATACTGAAGAGGTGTATTCCAGCTCTATAAATCAGTGGCAATGCTTTGTTGGTGTGTCAACTGGTCAGAAATATGTAGATGAAACATTTTCCCATCACAAAATGCTTATTAGTTGACAGAAGAATTTTCCATGGGAGCATGCTGATTTCAGTAAACCTTTCAAAAAAACAAACCAAAAAACCCAGGATTCTAGTGTAAACTTACCCTATGTCCTGCCATTTTGGCAACCTGCCCATCTCCTTGGTTCCTTAGCATCTTGTCTGATGAGGAGATTGCATGCTGGAAATCCCTAGGTTCCTAGATCAGTGTTTCTCAAACTTTTTTTATAAAGTACCCCTTTAAAAAAATAAGTACCCCCAGTACCTACAGTTTTCAGACACACAACATTTTTTCTACCACTGCAACACACTTGCTTAAACAACTTAATTGTAGCGGGCAGGTGATGAAATTTGTGGGTGTAAAAAGTACAAAAATAATAAAGCGCTGTAAAACTTAAAACAAAAATCCAGTTTTCTCCAAATTTTAGTTGTGTTGATGTACTCCCCAGACTTCTCTCAAATACCCCTAAGGGTACTCGAAAGACTGGTTGAGAAACATAGTCCTAGAGCATGTCTACACTAGGAAATTATTTTGAAATAATTTATTTCGAAATAACTCCTGAAATAACTATTTCGAAATAGCATGTCCACACTACAGAGAAGCCTCAAAATTAGTCTGAGGCAAACTTCCTTAATGTGGACTGGCTACCTTGACTTAGAGCCCCAGGAAGCACTGGGGTATAATTACTTTGAATGACTCTGGGGAGTAGTTATTTTGAAATAGCAGCAGTGGCGCATCCACACTACTGCTATTTCAAAATAACTATTTTGAAATAAGTGTTCTTTCCCGAGGAAAACAGGAGTTGTTATTTCAAAATAAACAGTTCCTTATTTCTAACGGGCTTGGTAGCTTGTTATTTCAAAATAAAGGGAGTTATAGACCAGGGCCTAGTATCCCTCCTTCCTTGGCTGCCTGCTTGGGGGCAGTTACAGGGTTGGAACTCCCAGGGCTTCCTGGCTCATCCTCATCTCACCTGGTGGGCTGCCAAAGAACTGGGGTTTCTTTGGGCCTCCTGGCTTCCAGACAAGCTGCCCATCTGCTGGGAGCTAAGGAGCCCCAGGTTTTTAGAACTGCACACAGTAAAATCATGGTAGTTGCATGTACACATGCAGGTTTGACCTCTGATGTGGAAATTGCCTGTGAATTTACTCTGAATTTCCATTCATTATGTGCAACTCTAAAACCAAAAGAGGTCGTGCTTGACTTTATTATTTGTAATCTTCCAAGTTAACCTCTTTAGTGCATCACTGGGGCATGAAGAATATGAGCCATTGTCCATTTGATCTGAAAAAACTTTAGTGTTAAAGTGAAAACCTCATTTTTTGGCCATTCAGACCACTCAGTAAAATGTATTTACTTAAACTGGAGCAAAGGTGACAGATAAAAGTTGTAGGCTGGGATTTTAAAAGGAACTCATGGGAGTTAGGTACCCAGTTCTCCCAGTGACTTACAGTGCTAGATGCAAGACTCCTTAGGACATAGTTTTATTCTTGATTTGGCCTGGATAAGTTTTCTGGGGCGTGGGAGATGAAAACCATATCATTTTGCTTTTTCAGATTTTTTTAAAAATAATTGTAGTTATTCCCACTCCTACTGCCTTACTTGACTTTATATGAGAATATAAGGATAGTCTATTGGAAAAGGGTTGTGGCTGAGGTCGCAAGGGGTAATAGTACCAGAGATATAATATGTTTTATTATGGAGCAATAATTATTCCCCATTACAGAAGTATCAAAAGTTGGCTGACATGTGGGTGGAAGTCCAGTTGAGTCCAGAATACAGTATAGTGAAAATGGCCATTGCAGTAAACATCAATACCTGATGGATTGGATAGTTACATTACATCCTACAGAAACTACTTTCCTGAAAGTTGTTGCAGTAAATAAATAGTCATAGTTAAAACAGAGCAGGATTGTTGTAGTAATAACACAGTGTGTTTTGTTGTAAAGGGTCTATTTTGTTTACTGTTGTGTTAAGATACAAATGGCCCATAAGTATGTTGTTATAATTAATAATAATCCCAATCATTTGAATTTTATTAAATCTTTTTCAGGATTTTTTAAAGATCTCCTATTGCAGTGATAGCTTGAAAAGAGAGATTTGTAATCTTCAAGATCTGTGCATTGACCCCTCTGTCTTGTGGGTCCGCACACAAGTAGTTGAAATTCTAAGCAGTTTACTCTCATGGGTAGAAGCAGTGGAACAACTACTTCATGATGTGGGGATTGACTTGTCTTGCTGTGACAAAGGTTTGCTTTTTCTTATCTGATGTATAACATTTTTCCTATATACTAAGCACGAGAGTTCAAAATGCAGCTTAAAATACGATCACTTATTAAACTTAGGCCCAGTATTGCCCAGTAAATATGGCTGGGTTTAGCAACTACAATGCCTTAGATTAGATGGGGAAATCTGGAGAGCAGCAGAAAGTGAGTTTCTTGGGCATTTCAATTCAACACATCAGAAGAACTGAGTAGGCAAGCGAAACAAGGTGGGACACATTGGGGCTGTGTCTACATTGGCACCCCTTTCCGGAAAAGGGATGCTAATGGGACACTTCGGAATTGAAAATTCCGCGGGGGGTTTAAATATCCCCCGCGGCATTTGCATGAACATGGCTGCCGCTTTTTTCCGGCTCGGGGTTTTGCCAGAGAAAAGCGCCAGTCTAGACGGGATATTGTGGAAAATAAGCCCTTTTCCGGAAGATCCCTTATTCCTACTTGAAAGTAGGCCTGGGGTTCTAAATCAAAATAGCACATCTACATAAGGGAAGCCTGCCTCTGACTAATTTTGAGGCTTCCCTGCAATGTAGACGTGCTATTTCGATTTAAGCTATTTCAGAATAACTATTCCAGAATAGTTTATTTTGAAATAAATGTGCAGTGTGTATGTAGCCATTGTGAGCAAGACCACAGCATAGCAATAGGCCTGATGCTGGACTTGCTAGCTTTTTTTTTAGAATTTATAGCTGGGATTTTCAGAAGAGCTTAAAGAAGCTACGTGCTCATCTAAAATTCATCAACATTTAATGGGAACTGGGTGTCAAGCTTCCTTATTTCCCTTTGAGAATACCACTTTACGTTATTGTGAACAGGTTTGTGTACCTGCCGCATTGTAACTCATCATTAAAGCCAGTGGTGGGAATGGCAAAAATATAGGATGAGTCCTGGCAAAAAAGGCAGAAGTTGTCATATTAGTATTAAAAAAAAGAAAAAGAAAAGAAAACCATGGGATACAATATTTTAAAGTAATTTATTTATGGCACCAGAGAACAAACAATTAACTATCCTCAATTTTACAATAAAATACGTAACAATTGCAATGCATCTTAAAACACAACACACTATTCCCCTGCACTTTTATAAAGTCAAATAGCAAGGAGGAGTCTTGCTCAATAGTAGGTGGTTCAGGTAAATAAAGATCTTTGTTTTTTAAAAGAAAACCCTAACATACACTATTTTGACATTCAAACCATTTCTCTGGCAATATTAACATTATTAATCCCTTTTTAAAATATTAATATGAATGAGGTTCTAGGTTTATAGATCCTTAGTAGAGTTGGTTAGAGCCTTTCACAGATACAAAATTTGTATCCACATTCGCAGGGCTCCACAATCTATTGAATCTACTCGCCCGTTGTGAGTAGATTTCAGCCCAGTGCCCCGGTTACCAGCAGCACGCACAAGTGCAATGTGGCTCTTGTGCACGCGCAGTGCGGGGCTGGCGAGCGGCTTTCGCTGCGGTTCGTCAAGCCCTGCACATTCGTATCTGCAAAAATCATAGAATCCTAGGGCTGGAAGAGACCTAAGGTGGTCATTGACTCCAGCCCCCTGCCCAAAGCAGGATCAACCCCAACTAAATCATCTCAGCCAGGGCTTGTCAAGCCGGGACTTAAAAACCTCTAGGGATGGAGATTCCACTACCTCTAGGTAATCCGTCTGTCACCACTGAGAACAGCCTCTCTCCATCCTCTTTGGAACCTCTCTTCAGGAAGCTGAAGGCTGCTATCAAATCCCCCTTCAGATGAGCTATGGATATGCACGTCTGTGGATGTGGATACCCACAAGTATAAAGTGAATAGCCACAGAAATGCTGGGTTCTCTATATGGTTCCAAAACAAAATCCCAGTCCTGAACATCTCCAAATTTGGGGAAGGTTGGACCTGGGTTCAAAGCTGTGCGTGAATGACATGGCGGGTCACTATCATGACCCAAACCAAAACCCCAGTTCCCGACATTCCAAAACTGTAGAAGTGGCATTCAAAGAATCAGATCCTGAACGTCCGACATTCCAAAACTGTGGGAGTGGCATTCAAAGAATCAGATCCTGAAGCAATTTCTGTCCCTCTGTCTTGTATTGCTATATTTCTGGCCAAGTGGCACAAAATCATCTAGCATAATTGATATCACCTTAACAATATCTTTGCCTCTCTAAATATGCTATTTTTATTTTGGATCTTACCCAATTGCATATTTCCCTCCATGCCAGTTATTTTATCTTGGTGGTTCTTTTCCTTTTGTAACAATAGAAAAGGCTCTTGGCAGTGAATTTAGTATCACTAGCTCTTTTAGTGCCAAAGCTCTTATCTTAACTCGATGCAAGGTAACAGATTGTTTTGTCTTTCCCTTCCACTTGAATCTGTATTGTGAATCAGAGCAGTTTCTATTCTGATTTACTGAAAATACCTTAACTTTGTGTGTGGAAAAACAAACAGCTTTTCATGTCATGAGGCAGAACAATACATCATGTCATGTAACTCACATTATGTAATCTAATTCAGAGGTGATTCATTGCACTGAGAAGAGGGAAATTAACTTTTCACTCACATGCTGCTTGCATACAAAGCTGTAAAAATTGTATTTATTCATATAATTTGAATTAAAAGGGTGCAAGTGGCAGGAGGGCGACAAGAGAACCCATACTGTTTAGGAAAACCATGCTACAACTGTGTTTTAATGCAGTTGTGTCTAGCATGGTTTTAAACTTGGTTTCAAAAAGGCCTAAGAATGCCATTTATCTAAGGGAAAGTCAATTCCTCCTCTTTTGAAGGAATCCCCAAAGCAGAAATAAACCATTTTTTGTGATCATCCTTTCATGGGGAGATACTAGTTTCAGGTTGTTTTTAAAATGAACCTCAGTGAAGGGGGACATTTTATTGTGACTATGTTGCAGGTATTGGCCCATTGGTTTCTTGGATTATTGTGCATGCTCTGTTTAAATATCTGTAGTTCCCTTTGGTTTAAAACATACACTGTAGCATGTTATAGAACACAGTGCATCATGAAACCACCGGGGTGTAGTTTGTATGGCTGTGTCTAGACTGGCAAGTTTTTCCGCACAATCATCTGCTTTTGCGGAAAAACTTGCCAGCTGTCTACACTGGCCACTTGAATTTCCGGAAAAGCACTGACGATCTCATGTAAGATCGTCAGTGCTTTTCCGGAAATACTATGCTGCTCCCATTCGGGCAAAAGTCCTTTTTCTGAAAGACTTTTGCGCAAAAGGGCCAGTGTAGACAGCAGAGTACTGTTTTCCGCGAAAATGGCGATCGGGGCTTTTTTTGCGGAAAACCGTGTCCAGATTGGCCACGGACGCTTTTCCGCAAAAAGTGCTTTTGCGGAAAAGCATCCTGCCAATCTAGACGTGCTTTTCCGAAAATGCTTTTAACGGAAAAGTTTTCCGTTAAAAGCATTTTCAGAAAATCATGCCAGTGTAGACGTAGCCTTTATGTTTCTCACACTTCTTACACCCTTAGCCCACAATGACAGAGATAAAATTGTTTGTATCTTGAATAACACATCCAAAACTACATCTACACTGCACTTTTAGGATCTATATATGAATAACCTAGGATTTGACACAGACGCGCCTCACAACACATCTGTGAAGTAGCTAATTATTATCCCCTTATCACACATGAGGACACTGAAGCACAGAGAGGTTTAAGAGACATAAGGAGCCACTGGAACAAGAACCCAAAAGTTGTTGGCTCTCTTGGTACTAGCCAGTGCTGCCTCTCCAGAAGGAGCAAGTAATTTTTATTCAGTAACAATATGCTGCTCCATTGAAATGTGTTTGTCATCCAAGGAAAAAGCTGGTAGATGTGCCCTCCTGATCACAGGTTAGTTACTGCATAAATACATGAACAGACAGTGTTTTCCTTTTTTGTGTAAAAACAGCAGAAGGGGAGAATTTATGCTCATTAACTTGGTATTTCTGAGAACCAAAGCACAAGTCACATCTTCTCCTCAGGGGGGGCGCAAATTCACACAATCCAGAAAATCCTGAACAATAGATTTAAAGTGATAGAAATGTAGCCGTGTTAGTCTGGTGTAGCTGAAACAAAATACAGGACTATGTAGCACTTTAAAGACTAACAAGATGGTTTATTAGGTGATGAGCTTTCGTGGGCCAGACCCACTTCCTCAGATCAAATAGTGGAAGAAAATAGTCACAACCATATATACCAAAGGATACAATTTAAATTAGGACTAAGGGACATTTAAAAATGGTGGTGCCCGGGAAGATGCAAATGAAGCCCGGGATATTTAAATCCTGGGCTTCATTTGCAACTTCGAATGCCTACATTAGCCTCCCTAGTTCGAACTAGGGGGCTAGTGTAGATATACCCTATCAGATGAACAACCCATGTAGCACGTATGCCCCTTCCCTTCGCAGAGCATGGGTTTTGCACATGGCTTTGGTAAAGAGAAGACTAGTGGCAGCTACTCTGGGTATTAGATGATTTGATGAAGGCCATTTTCTGACTCTTATATCTGTTTGGTCCCCTCAGCACTGTCTAAGGGGGCAGGAATAGACCCTATAGTGAAGATAATGAAATCTAGGATTAAAAAGGCCAACCTTGAAGCCATAGCAAAACAAACTGCCTCCTTTGCTAGGCCTTTCCATGCCTCATCACTTTCCACTGGTAAATGACAAGAAGGGAGAAAATTCCCAGGTAGTAAAACCACTGTCTTTTTAATTTTTCATTTCTTGCCAAGGAAGAGTCTCCTACATGAAGAGTCTGCTGAAGAATAGTCGTGAAACTGTGGGCAGAATTCAAACATTGCAGGTAAAAAAAAATGTCATGAGACTCCTTTAGTGGATTTGAATTACACGAAAATAGGATGATAAATAGTATTGATTATGCTTAAAGATTGATTCGTTGATTAATCCAGAGTGGAGCAGTGATCTGACATGTAGGATATGTCTGCAATGCAGTGTTATGGAAGCATTCTATGTCCAATGCCAGTGTTATGTATGAATTCTTTTTTCAGAAGTCACTCATTACAAATGTTATTTAAACATAATTCCTTTCTGAATAGTTTGTTGAAATATTAATGAACATCCACATGATTACATCTCATTATGCTTAAATGGCCAGTTCCTTAATATCTTTGTTTACTAACATTGTGCTTAAGTGACCAGTTTTTTAATATCTTTATTTTCTGACAATTCTCTGTAGGCCCAATTACACAAATTACAGGAATCCCAGAATTCTCTGCTACAGGAAAAGCTGAATGAACTAAAAGTAGAACACGAGAAAGAATTACAGGAGAAGATAAAACTAATACTTTTAGAAAAAGAAGAAGAAAATAAAAAGGTATAGTAGAATGGTTCATTTTAAAAATGTTTCTTTTATGCACAAACAATACATACGAATACATTGTTGTGTTTTGCATGTATAAAGAAGCTGAATTCTAGCTCAAAAATTCAGATTCAGATCAAATTTCTAAAAAGTACAGAGGTGAAATCCTGACAGCTTGAAGTCAATGGGAGTTTTGCCATTGTTTCTAATGGAGCCAAGATGTCACCCCAAACCTGATGCGCTGCTTTGGATCCTTGTCTGTGTAGTTCTGTTCAAGTGAGGAGAGAGATCAAGACATGCAAATACTGCACAAATATTAAATGAATATAAGAAAGGAATAAGGGCCAGTAGAAAACAATCATGTCTCTGTTAAAAGTATTGTTGTCTAAGGATACGTCTACACTGCACAGCTATCCTGAGATAGCTACCCCATGTCTACACAAGATGCCCGTTTTTTCGAAATATTTGTTTCGAAATAACGGGCACACTATTTCACCATCCCGACAAACCTTATTGCATGAGGAATAAAGGCTGGCTCGAAATAGCACGTTATTTCGAAATTTGGTGTGGAGTCACACCACATTCCAAAATAAGCTATTTCGAAATAGTTTCAAAATAAGATATGCAATTTGCATAGCGCAAATTGTGTATCATATTTTGAGTTTTGGGTGCTGTGTACATGTACTCGAAGAGTTAAACTTAGAGCAACAAATGGAGAATCAGGAGCCTTTCTGTTCACAGCTCCACAGCTGACTTCATATTTGAGTTTCAGCAAGAAAAATTAAACCACTCTGTGTATGAGATGGCTGAGATTTAAAAAGGGATAATAATACAGGTTAGATCTTCTTGATCTGGCACCCTCGGGACCTGACTGGTGAGTTCAATTCCTGCCCCTCTGCTGATGGACTCCAGGCTGATGGACCCGACTGGGCTCTCCTCTGGGCTCCGCCTCCACACCCAGTTCCACTGCCGGCCTGCCCCCAATCTGGCTCTCTTGCTGGCCACTATTCCAGCTGCCAGGTTCCCTGGCTCTGGGCCATCAGGGCTGCGATGTTGGGTCCAAGCCTGGCCATTGAGCTCTGCTTCCCCTAGTGGGACTGTTGGATCACAAATGTTGCTGGAACAGAGAGTCCCAAACCAGAGAGGTTCAGTCTCTAGATTAATTTACCTCATGGTACGTTTGTGAAGTGCTTTGATAATTGTATATGAAAGATGCTTTTTAAAAGTGGTATAATTTAGTATTGATATCGTTTAAAATAACTCCCGAGCAGGCTGAAGCTCCAATCTGCATCTCACCTTTTCCTCTCCCTCATCTACCCACACTGGGGAATTCATAACATCAGTATTCCCTGTAAACTGTGTGCTGGTGTGGTCACTTAGGAGAGCTAAATGTCACCCAGCTGATTAAGAGAGCACTCCTGGCTAGGTTTTCTTTCTAATGGTGGAGCATGTTCACACATGCCTCAGTGCACATAAAAAAAATATATTCTGCACATGGATGGCAAAGGTTGGAGGGAACACTGCATCCCATAGGGCTGATTGTGAACGGTGGGAAGATGGCATAATTAGATCCCTTTGTAGAACTGCTGAAGCCTCTCCTGTGGAAATAGGCCTTCACAACTGAAATATATCAGCATATATATATGTGAAGAAAAATGTCCCAGTTAGGTCAAAATTTGTGCTGTCACTTTACCTGTTTTCATTGACTTTCTTTAAATTCAGGAAAATACAGATCTTCGAAACACCTGGATAGGAATGTGAAATCCTGTTTAAAATGTTAACCGTTTAAACTATATGTTAACTGACCCACTGCAACATGGTGGGCCTGGCCATATTGTTCTGGCCAGGCCATGCAGGGGCCGCTGCACCACGCCGTGGGTGTGGGACTGGTTGGGTAGCACCCATCACACTCTACCTCGGGTAGGGGGTGCTCCAGCTGGGCTGGTCACAGGTTAACCAGTTACCCCAGTAAGGCAATGCTTACCAGGTAACCAGTTAACCAGTTATCCCTTTACATCACACAACACCTGGCATTAGTGAGGAAGACACTTACTTTTTTAAAAAAATCACAGTTCTCTCCAGCTTGACTTAATCTCTTGTTAGTAGCCATATGTCAATGACAGTGTGTATTATAATTTTGCCTGAATTATTCATCAGTCAGTCTCTTCTTGAACTTCCTTCCCAGACTTTTGATTTTCAAATTAATCAGTTGATCAACAGCCCATTCACTTCCACTTTTCTTTTTGTCATCTCTGTAGTTTCTCTCCTTTTTAAAGTTGTGCTAAATCCAGCTAACCTTTCTTCATAACTCATCCTTCCTCCAAAACCCTGACTCATATTAGTTGCTCTCTGCCTTTTCCATCTCAACAATGTCCTTCTTCTAAAGAAGTCAGCACGTGGGTGGTAATTTGATATGATTTCTCAGATTCTAGACAGTGCTGTTGCCCAAGAAAAAGGCAAATTAAAGGAATCTGTGGAGGAAGAAAAGAGAAAGGTCCAACATTTGGAAAATCAGTGGAGACATCTGAGTGAGGTATTTAAAAAACTGAAGAGACAAAGGAGAACATCTTACATTCTCATTTTCAAAATCCATTCTAACCTCAGATCCCATTAGATCATTGGTTCCCAAACTGGGGGGGCATGGAGAAATTTCAGGGGGGGAAGTGCCCCAGCTCCCCCTCCCTCCTGGTCAATCCTCTCTTCTAAGTTTTGTTTTTTGGCCCTGGTCAGTTTTTTTTTTTTTGCTGCTATTGGCGGGGGCGGGCAGGCGTGCGTGCGTGTGTGTGTGTGTGTGTGTGTGTGTGAGAGATGAGAGAGAGATTCTCAAAAATCAAAAAGGAGTCATGCTGAAAAGTTTGGGAACCACTGCATTAGATTGTGTTCCATCAGCAGTCATATGGTTTCAATCTCAGGCAAAACTTCTACAGGAGATGAACGTGTTAGCTCTACACCCAGCATGTGTATGCACATACATTACACATGTTTTGTGATAACCTTTTTGGGTGTGTGTCAGTCATCCATGGGGCTCTGAAATGATTACAGACCTAGAAGCAGGGAAAGCAGCCAGTAGGTAAAGCAATCAAGAATCTCCACAACTTTATCTGTAGCTGTATTTTTCTGCTGCAGCAAAGAATCTCCACAACTTTATTTATCTGTAGCTGTATTTTTCTGCTGCAGCAATGATATGCAGCCAAGGTGACTTTTTCCTGTTGATATTCCCTCTATATATACTTTCCTTGCCCCTATTCAAAAGGATCTGTTTGGCATCAATTATAATTAACTCTCGTACAGTACTAATAGCTAGTGAATGACCTCTGACCTTTCTTAACCTGTAAAGTGCATAATTGTGAGTTTCTCCAGTTAAAACATTTTAAAGTCACAATTTTAAAAAATAATGACTACATACACTTATTTCCTAGATTTATGCAAATTCCTGATGCCTAAATAAAAAAATTAAAACATGTTTATCACTGCGAGACAAATTCATCATTGCTATAAAAGGGCACATCATCACTGACTTCACTGGGCATGTGTCTATTTACACATGATGAATTTTCCCAGAGATTACATGTGTATAGGAAAGGAAAGGTTCTGGTTTTTTTGTTCTCATCTACTGCTTTTTTTCTGATTTAGATAATTGAACTTAAAATGAAAGAAGAAGACATTATAAATGCCAACCTGAAAGAAGCAGTGGACAGCTTAGAAGAGGCTCAAAAGAGAGAGGTAATTAGAACGAATATATTTACTAGGTTAGGCATGATGCACATTTTCATTTGAATGCAGTTTGTCCATGGCACCCTGCTAAGAAAGGCTGGTTCAAGCACATCAAGAGCCCCCTGCAAACCTATTCATTTGAGGGGTCACCTCTTATATAATTGTAACCCACATAAGAAATTGTGGATATTGTAGCTCATGCTTTTAGCTCTGGAGGCTCCAGGTGCAAGCACGCTCAGTTACATAATCAAATTCCACCAGTCCACACTTACAATCAGTGTCCCAGGAATATTTTTAAGAGTGAGGGCACTGACATCCTCCACCTCCCCTGTCCTACCCTCTCCCCTTTCCCCCTCCTCCCCCCCCCCCCCCCCCCCCGCGGGGGCCAGTAGCAGATCCCGCAGCATGTGGGGCTGAATCAGAACCCCCTTCGCACAGGACCAGCAGCCAGGACCTCAGGCCTGGAGCCAGCAGCAGAACCACCAGAGCATGGGGCAGCAGCTGGGTCCCTAAGCCCAGGGCCAGCAGTACAGCCTGCAGTTCTCAGGGAAGCAGCAGGGATGCTGCGTGCTAGGCTGGGAGTCTCCAGTAGCAGATCCCGCAGCATGTGGGGCTGAATCAGAACCCCCTTCGCACAGGACCAGCAGCCAGGACCTCAGGCCTGGAGCCAGCAGCAGAACCACCAGAGCATGGGGCAGCAGCTGGGTCCCTAAGCCCAGGGCCAGCAGTACAGCCTGCAGTTCTCAGGGAAGCAGCAGGGATGCTGCGTGCTAGGCTGGGAGTCTAGGGGCGCTGCAGCACCATCCACACTCCTAGTTCCCATGCCTAGGCTTACAATTATAATCATGAAATGGGTTGAGAGCTGGGGCAAGAGCCAGAAGCAGAGTCAGTGAATCGGCAACACACAGGCAGTGGCCAGGGGAAGCTGAAATAGCTTGTGTTGGGGGCAGCAACAGCAACAACTAGGCTGGATTTCTGAAGCAGGGGAAGCAACCAGTAAATGAACCAGCTAAAGAGGGAAGAAGCCCAGTCCCCCCACGAACTTCAAATATCCTAATTTTGCCAATGATCATCTTACAGCAGGGAATAAACCAGTTCCAAAATGTCTGGGCTGGGACTCAGAATGGTTATCAGGTCTTGCTACTGTTCATTCGCTCCTATTATAATATGGAGTAAAAGTTAGGAGCAGAACTTAGAAAAAATTCCGCAAAATCTGCCCAGCTGAAAATGAAGGCCCTTAACCCTTTTAAACATGTTTAAACTTTAAAAACTTCTCCCACACTTCAAGTTCACAACAAACTTCTGACAGACTTAATAAATGTTTCCTAGGTCATGTTGCAAGAGCACCTGTTGATGCAGGACAAACATCTAACACTCATTCAGGAGGAGAATGAGTTACTGAAGCAGAAAATTCAGAAAGAGATCATGGAGTATAAAGAACAGATCAAGCAACATTCAGAAACAATTGTGGCTTTAGAAGACAAACTGCAGGAAGCCACACAACAGCAGGAGAATATAGAGGAGGAAAATGTAGCGCTACGGGAAAAAATAGAAAGTAGGTAAATGGATCTATGGGAGGTTTTTTTTAATTGTAAAAGGGTTAAATTAGCTGCATAATTACAGAGACTGTAGTACATTGGGTTCTACTCTGAAAGAGCCCAATGTGAGTTACTCTGAAGTAAGTCTGGATATCTTAGTAACTCAGGGATAAGATCAGTCAATGTTTTTTTTCACCACAAGTATGACTAATATATTTGTGAAAAGTCTATTTCACTATGGCTACATCTAGACTACAGACTTCTTGCACAAGAAGCTTTTTTTGGAAGAGATCTTCTGCAAAAACTTCTTGTGAAAGAGATCATCCACGCTGCAAAAGCGCATCGAAAAAATTATGCACTTTTTCAAAAGATAGCGTCCAGGCACTCTGGACACTATCTCACATGTAAGCAGTGATTGCTATGGACAGAATGGCCACCAGGGCACGTGTGCTTTTTCCTTTTCCTTCTTCTTCAAAAAAACTCCCTCTTCCCCATCCTCACATGCCTTTTTCCGAAAGAGCTTTTTCGCAAAAAGGCTTCTTCCTTGTAGAATAAGGATTACCAATTGTGCAAAAAGCCCTCTGTTCTTTTGATTTACTGTCGAAAGAACGCACTTGCAGTGTGGACGTAACTCAAGTTTTATCGGAAAAACGGCCATTTTTCCAAGAAAACTCTGTGGTCTAGACATAGCCTATGTTCTCTATTGTGACTTTCCCAGATGCACTCAGGCCGTGCATCAGTGAAAGATCTGTAACCCTTGAAATCAATGGGATTTAACCACATACAGTAAAACTCCAATAGTCCGGCATCCAATTGTACGGCACTCTTGATAGTTCGGCATCAAAATGGCAAGAGCCTAGTGAGTGAGCTTCGGCAAAAAATGAGTCACAAGGCAACAGCGGCAGCAGCTGAACCGAGCGAAAAGGGTAAAAAAGGGTTAAAAAAACAAAAACATCACAGTATACTGTATACAGTATGTACAATAAAAAGGGTTAAGAACACTTTATATACAGTATATACTGTATACAGTATATATATATATAACCATCTTATAGTACCTCCTGATAGTCCGGCACCACCTAGGTCCCAAAGGTTCCGGATTATCGGAAGTCTACTGTACTTGGAGTTAAGCATGTTTAAAGTGCACCTGCATTGGGACGTGTTTAACAGCTTTCTTGAATTGGGGCCGAAGTGACTGAGAAGATGAAGGATCAAATCTAACATTTCCTGTATTATGTGCCATAGTTGCTAAGTCTAGTGTTTCCTTGTAGTGGCTTGCTGCCTGTTAATATAAAGATACTAATGTCTGGATTTGAACAGAGAAATTTATAAAAAAAAAAAAGCCCTTCATCAAATAACGTAATTCATTTGGTGATGGGAAATCTGCTGAACAATCTCTCAATAGTCCTCTGTTAAGCCCAAGTTGCATCACAAAAGCAAAGAGGCCTCAACTACCCATAGGGTTCAAGAATAAACTAGTGACTTAGTTGATTGTAGATAGTCTTGGTTTTATTTTTTTTTTCTTCAGTATTTCAGAAAGAGCCTCAGAAGTCAGCATCAGCTGTTTCAGAAGAGCATTCTGACAATGAAGAGGCCCATGCACTTCTGATGTAAGCAGCTGACAACTGTCCTCTGAGTTTGATCGTCATGTAAAAGGAGAACTAGTAATCAGTAGCCAACTTTTTAAAAACCCAAGGCCCTGAATCTCATTTACACTCCCCCCTCCCCTTATTTCACTCTGGCTATATAAAGGAGCCTTCCCCAGATGTAAGGAGAGTTTTCACGCTTTCAGGTCTCTAAGGGTATGTCTACACAGCAAAGAAAAACTCATAGCTGGCCTGTACCAGCTGACTCAGGGTCATGGGGCTCAGGCTGTTGGACTGTTTCATTGCTATGTAGACTTCTGCCCCCAAGCACTGGGACCCTCCCACCCTGCAGGGTCCTAGAGCCTGGAGTCCAGCCCGAGCCTGGAAATCCCCACGGCAGTGAAACATCACAGAGACCGAGCCCAAGTTGGCTGGAAGGATCAGCTGTGTAGACATCCCCTTAGTGTAAATGTGAATCAGGCCCAGAACATCTAATAAATGTGCATAGAGGCACATTTAAAATGTAAAATCTACCTGTATATTTTAGAAATGTGCATCCATCTGTCTGTCCATCCATCTGAGAGTCTGTTTGTTCAAGAACTCCAAAATGATACAAGCTAGGGCCTCCAAATTTGGCATGTAGCTTCCTCTTCTCCTAACTTAAAGCAAGATGAGAGTCTAGTTGTGCCAGAACAATGGCATGTGCCTGGAATCTGATTGTTTCTCGTCAAAGGAAAAGGGAAAGCTCTTATAGCAGAGACAGTTATACTCTACAATGACCATGGGGGGCAGCAAATGCGCCAGTCCCAAGGAGCGCACCCTGGCCAGGCAGTGTGGCCCCCACCACCCTGGGAAGCCCCCCTACACTCCCTGCGCTGACTCCTATACTCTAACCTCCTGTCTAAGCCCCCCATGCCTCCAAACCAACCTGGGAAGCCCCCTACACCTTCCAACCCCCTGCGCTGACTCCTATACTCTAACCTCCTGTCTAAGCCCCCCATGCCTCCAATCCCCTGCTCTGACTCCTGCACCCTCCACATTCCCAGTCCCCTGCCTGAGGGGTCCTGAGCAACGTGGGTAAATCTTCTACTAAAGCCAGCCTTTTTACTCATGCTTTTATTGGTGTTTGAGTTTGTGTATGTGTGAATGTCCCTCCTCTCGAGATTTCTTAGCAGGTTTTATGTCCCTCTGGGGTCTCATATTTTAAGTTTAGATAGATAGATAGATAGATAGATATTGTGTTTTTAAAAATTTTGTAAGCCACCTCGAATATTTTAAATAAAGAGGTGGGATAAAAATATTTTAAATAAATGGTATCATATGTTTGTGGTTTTTCTTCAATTCTGTGTCACTTTTGGAGACTTAAAGCATATTAAGCAACAAAATCATATAGCAGGTAGTTCTGACATTGCTTTGACTTCTACATTCATTGCTTTTGTGGATTTGAGCATGGATGGCCAATGTACTGCCCCTAGGCCAAGAAATGGCGCTCAGAGTTCTCCAGTGATTCACAGCTGCCCTTATCTTCACCATTGAGCTGCATGCCTGACACTGTTATACAGTGTTCCACCTTGATTGGAGTAGATCCTATGCAAAATAGCATGTCATTTTGTCTGTCATCCATTCTGCAAAATTTCAGCTCATTTGACTTGAATCGAGAAGTGAGAGAGGCAATAATACCTAACTCTATGTGCCTGGGTTTAGAGGATTTAAAATAAATAATTTGTGTGTAATACTTATATGATCTTACCCTATAGGACCTGTACACTTTAAGTAACATTAATTTTTCAAATTAAATTGGGTTTTGCAATTATCTGCTTCATGTATTTCAGAGGAGAATTAGCAGTTGCTCGGAAGGAAATCCTGTCCAAACAGGCTATCATTTTGGGATTAAAGAGAGACCTCTCAGAAGCCAGAGCCAGAATGTCGGATATGATAGGTTTGTGAAATATATCATATGATTTACAATAATGCCATGATGTCCCCAAAAACCTACTTAGAGAATTTGTGTTAATGGAAAGAGAAACAAGATAGTGAAAAATGGATATTATTTTCTCACTGGAACATTTTCATTGAGGTCTGGGCAAAGGCAAAATTGTCTGTTCTCGTTGGCTGAGTAAATTCCACTGTGGACTTAGCAAAAAGAGACTACAATTTTCAAAAGTAGCTAGTGATTTTGGATGCTTCTATTTTTGGATGTTCAACATGAGGCACTTTAAGGGGGCCTGGTTCTCAGAAAGTGCCAAGTGTCCATCTTCTGAAAGTCAGCCCCCTCTAAAATGTCTTAGTTTGGGTATTGAAAATCACTGGTCACTTTGGAACATTTGGGCCAGAATTCTGAAATGTTTTATCCTTTAGGAGCTTCATTATTGTATTCTGCATAGGAAGAAAGGAATATAGTGGATCAGAGTCTGAAAAAATAGTTTTAAACTTGCTGCCTGTTAATATAAAGATACTAATGTCTGGATTTGAACAGAGAAATTTATAAAAAAAAAAAAGCCCTTCATCAAATAACGTAATTCATTTGGTGATGGGAAATCTGCTGAACAATCTCTCAATAGTCCTCTGTTAAGCCCAAGTTGCATCACAAAAGCAAAGAGGCCTCAACTACCCATAGGGTTCAAGAATAAACTAGTGACTTAGTTGATTGTAGATAGTCTTGGTTTTATTTTTTTTTTCTTCAGTATTTCAGAAAGAGCCTCAGAAGTCAGCATCAGCTGTTTCAGAAGAGCATTCTGACAATGAAGAGGCCCATGCACTTCTGATGTAAGCAGCTGACAACTGTCCTCTGAGTTTGATCGTCATGTAAAAGGAGAACTAGTAATCAGTAGCCAACTTTTTAAAAACCCAAGGCCCTGAATCTCATTTACACTCCCCCCTCCCCTTATTTCACTCTGGCTATATAAAGGAGCCTTCCCCAGATGTAAGGAGAGTTTTCACGCTTTCAGGTCTCTAAGGGTATGTCTACACAGCAAAGAAAAACTCATAGCTGGCCTGTACCAGCTGACTCAGGGTCATGGGGCTCAGGCTGTTGGACTGTTTCATTGCTATGTAGACTTCTGCCCCCAAGCACTGGGACCCTCCCACCCTGCAGGGTCCTAGAGCCTGGAGTCCAGCCCGAGCCTGGAAATCCCCACGGCAGTGAAACATCACAGAGACCGAGCCCAAGTTGGCTGGAAGGATCAGCTGTGTAGACATCCCCTTAGTGTAAATGTGAATCAGGCCCAGAACATCTAATAAATGTGCATAGAGGCACATTTAAAATGTAAAATCTACCTGTATATTTTAGAAATGTGCATCCATCTGTCTGTCCATCCATCTGAGAGTCTGTTTGTTCAAGAACTCCAAAATGATACAAGCTAGGGCCTCCAAATTTGGCATGTAGCTTCCTCTTCTCCTAACTTAAAGCAAGATGAGAGTCTAGTTGTGCCAGAACAATGGCATGTGCCTGGAATCTGATTGTTTCTCGTCAAAGGAAAAGGGAAAGCTCTTATAGCAGAGACAGTTATACTCTACAATGACCATGGGGGGCAGCAAATGCGCCAGTCCCAAGGAGCGCACCCTGGCCAGGCAGTGTGGCCCCCACCACCCTGGGAAGCCCCCCTACACTCCCTGCGCTGACTCCTATACTCTAACCTCCTGTCTAAGCCCCCCATGCCTCCAATCCCCTGCTCTGACTCCTGCACCCTCCACATTCCCAGTCCCCTGCCTGAGGGGTCCTGAGCAACGTGGGTAAATCTTCTACTAAAGCCAGCCTTTTTACTCATGCTTTTATTGGTGTTTGAGTTTGTGTATGTGTGAATGTCCCTCCTCTCGAGATTTCTTAGCAGGTTTTATGTCCCTCTGGGGTCTCATATTTTAAGTTTAGATAGATAGATAGATAGATAGATATTGTGTTTTTAAAAATTTTGTAAGCCACCTCGAATATTTTAAATAAAGAGGTGGGATAAAAATATTTTAAATAAATGGTATCATATGTTTGTGGTTTTTCTTCAATTCTGTGTCACTTTTGGAGACTTAAAGCATATTAAGCAACAAAATCATATAGCAGGTAGTTCTGACATTGCTTTGACTTCTACATTCATTGCTTTTGTGGATTTGAGCATGGATGGCCAATGTACTGCCCCTAGGCCAAGAAATGGCGCTCAGAGTTCTCCAGTGATTCACAGCTGCCCTTATCTTCACCATTGAGCTGCATGCCTGACACTGTTATACAGTGTTCCACCTTGATTGGAGTAGATCCTATGCAAAATAGCATGTCATTTTGTCTGTCATCCATTCTGCAAAATTTCAGCTCGTTTGACTTGAATCGAGAAGTGAGAGAGGCAATAATACCTAACTCTATGTGCCTGGGTTTAGAGGATTTAAAATAAATAATTTGTGTGTAATACTTATATGATCTTACCCTATAGGACCTGTACACTTTAAGTAACATTAATTTTTCAAATTAAATTGGGTTTTGCAATTATCTGCTTCATGTATTTCAGAGGAGAATTAGCAGTTGCTCGGAAGGAAATCCTGTCCAAACAGGCTATCATTTTGGGATTAAAGAGAGACCTCTCAGAAGCCAGAGCCAGAATGTCGGATATGATAGGTTTGTGAAATATATCATATGATTTACAATAATGCCATGATGTCCCCAAAAACCTACTTAGAGAATTTGTGTTAATGGAAAGAGAAACAAGATAGTGAAAAATGGATATTATTTTCTCACTGGAACATTTTCATTGAGGTCCGGGCAAAGGCAAAATTGTCTGTTCTCGTTGGCTGAGTAAATTCCACTGTGGACTTAGCAAAAAGAGACTACAATTTTCAAAAGTAGCTAGTGATTTTGGATGCCTCTATTTTTGGATGTTCAACATGAGGCACTTTAAGGGGGCCTGGTTCTCAGAAAGTGCCAAGTGTCCATCTTCTGAAAGTCAGCCCCCTCTAAAATGTCTTAGTTTGGGTATTGAAAATCACTGGTCACTTTGGAACATTTGGGCCAGAATTCTGAAATGTTTTATCCTTTAGGAGCTTCATTATTGTATTCTGCATAGGAAGAAAGGAATATAGTGGATCAGAGTCTGAAAAAATAGTTTTAAATCTAGAAATGGGTATATCTGATTTATTTAGTTTACTGTTAGTGAAATATGGGTGCACGTACCTACCTTATGAACAACATATTAATATAAACTATAAGTAATAAACAGTACAACTTATCTTATCCCTGTACTTTTCCAATCTAGAAGAAAAACGGCACTAGCAATCAATGTTCCCTGTAAGCTGGGTGCTTGTACAGCTGCTCAGGAGAGATTCAAATGCTACCCAGCTGATTAGCAGAATGCCCAAAGCTAGATTTTTATATCTACAGGTGGTGCACATTTTCACATGCTTCAGTGCACATAACAAAATGTATGCTGCACACAAATGGAAAAACATCTGCACGTGGATAGAAAAGATTAGAGGGAACATTGCTAGCAATAATATATAGACAAACAACTGCTGAAGTGAAAGATATCCCTGGCACTGGGTTTCTAGGGTCAGTAAAGGACTGCCAGAGTGAGTGAGTTCTACAGTAGAGATCCTTTGCTGTACAGAGCTATGGACTGTTACAAAAAGCACCTTCATTGATCTCAGCCATCGTAATGTTGCATGGGGGAAGAGAGGCATTCTGCGAGCTCCTGATTCTGATAGAATGGAAGGCACCCAGCAACAGGCAGCAGCAGGTACTTAAGGTAGCCAGTAACTATTGAAACCTCTCTCTGCGCAGGAGAACTCAGTGAAAAACAAAAAATGGAACTGGAGCAGAACCTAATTCTCGTTAGAAGCCAAGAGAGTGAACTGAACATGCTTAGAGAGAAGCTATCTGAGATGTCAGACCTTGTGGACAAGAAGGATAAAGACCTGAGAACTTCAGCTGAAGAATTAAGGTATAAGCCACCTCAATAGAATAGCAAAGGCTGAGCTACACAGCTCAGCAAAACCCCCCACTGACTTCAGAAAGTCAAATTTGTATTTTATTTAGATCACTACTTCCCTTGGAAACATTTTAAAATGTAATTTTTTACTTTACAAGAACTTCCCGTGCCGAAATCTCATTCTTATAAAGGTTTTCGAAGAGCAATTGCAAACTGAGTGGTAGATAAATCACGACTAGTTATCTATTCCTGTCCATGCATTTGTAAGCTTTAATAGTTATTCATGTTGCTGTTTTCTGCAAACTGATTGTTCACCTTCACCTGTCATCCACTTCAGCAATGTTTTCTGCTCTTCAGGTATGCCAAAGAAAAACTGAAAAAGATGAATTATTCAGCAAAAGAAAAAGAAAGTGAGTTTGTGAAGCTGCCACAAACAGATTTGCAAGCGAGTACCACCACAAAGGATGAAATTGCCAAAATCCAAAAGGTGAGTCCAAATCAAAACAAGTAAAAAAACTGAGGATGCAGCAGACTAAACTGAAAAATAAAGAATAAAAAGTTATTAAATAATGAAATCCTAGAGCAAAATGTGGGGGAGAGAAGGGGGCATGGTAGTGAGCAGGGGATGTGGCCTCATGGAATGGGTGGGTATAGGGTGTTTGATTTTGTGCAGTTAGAAAGTTGGTAACCATACACTAAAGGCTGCTGTTTAATCAGTTAGACGCTGCTCCTGATTCTGATATAATTTATACCAAGTACATTGTTGAAGTCCATGACATAAAACTGTACAGTAGGGAGATAAGAATCAGACTGCTGACATAGATTTGAATTGATCAGTGCCAGATTTGGTGCTCTAGGCAGCTGTGAGAGCAGGAGGTGCAGGGTTGTATTTGCTTCCTGCCTTTAGGTGTATTGAGCCAGGAAGCAACATTTTTAGTCTCAGACAAGAGTTATGGAAAAGGTTGATTGCTCACTGCCTTGATATGTCCTAGTATATAGGTTTGTAATGGTAATGGTTTCACCGGGTAGCTGTGTGCTGTGTTATGCTGCATTGAGTTATGCATCTAATTCTCCTAGGCTATTGCATAATGCTACTCTTGTCATTCCTTCACTTCCTCCCTCACTCCATCACCTTCTCTGTTCTTTAACCACTTTTGCTGCATCATCTCTTAATTTAGACTACTGGTACATATTTTTCTGGGCAAACGTATTTTTCTCTGTGCTCATATTATTTGTAACACAAAAAGGTGCTGAATGTTATTGGGGCCTTCAGGTGCTAATGCAATACCAATTACAGTGGTATTGATGGGTGGCTTTATTGACCATATCAGTGGAAAAAAGAAAATGGTAAAAGATTTTAAGGTAAAGTGACTTCCAAGTTCTTGTTTACCTGGTTTTGTCATAGAAGTACATTTACTGTTAGACTATAGGCTAAGCCCTGGACTGAGTCAGAAACGTTTGAGTTCTCTACCCAGTTCAGCCACTGGACTTGGCAAATCACTTACACTGAAATTCTTAAAAGTGACCTGATTTTCAGGATTACTGAGCACCAGTAGCCACGGGCACTCGATTCCCCTCCAGATGGGGAGTGCTCGACACCCCCACATTCCAGCCCTCAATGCATCCCTTCCTCCAAGTTTCTGACCCCAACATAACATAAGAACAGCCACGCTGGGTCAGACCAGACCTGACCCAGTATCCTGTCTGCCGACAGTGGCCAATACCAGATGACCCAGAGGGAGGGAACAAAACAGGTAACCCTCACATGATCCCTCCCTTGTCACCCATTTCCAGAGAAACAGAGGCTAGGGACACCATTCCTATTCATCCTGGCTAATAGCCATTGATGGACCTAACCTCCATGAATCTATCTGGCTATTTTTTTAAGCATGTTAAAGTCCTAGCTTTCACCACATCCTCTGGCAAGGAGTTCCACGGGTTGGCTGTGTGCTGAGTGAAGAAAAACTTCTTTTTGTTTGTTTTAAACCTGCTGCCTATAAACTCACCAGAGCTTCATCCTCACCCTGCCCCATTCAACCCTCACCCCTGCTTCGCCTCTTCACCTGTTGCCCCAAGCCTCCATCCCTACTCCTTCCCCCCTCAGTTGTTTCTCACCAGAGCTTCATCCCCACCCTGCCCCATTCAACCCTCACTCCTGCTTCGCCTCTCCCCAAGCCTCCGTCCCTACTCCTTCCCCCCTCAGTTGTTTGCGGCACTTCAGAAGCGCTAGGAGAGTGGGGAGCAGGAGTAGGTCAATGGGGCCAGCGGGGAGAGGAGCAGAGGTGGGCGGGTAGCTTGGCGCGGGTGGGTGTGCCTCACCCATTAATTTCCCCTCCCCCCGGATGCTCCAGCCTCAGAGCACAGACGGAGTCAGTGTCTATGCCAGTTGCTTCTTTTAAACTTTAATGGGGGTTGTCAATACTCTGCACTTGGGGAAGTCCAGGCCCACTGTGTCCCCAGTCAGATACTCAAAAATTGAGGCACTCAGAATCATTAGCAATTTCTGAAATATTTTGGCCATAGCTGCTCTTATTTCCCCATCTGAAAGCTCAGGCTACCAGTTCTTACATACTGCACCAGCACTTTGTGATGATTACTTGATAATGTTTGTACAGCGTTTTGCAAGTGTGAAGTGTTGAAAGTGCTAAGTGCTGTTATAATTGCCAATTAGATTGTGTAAAGCAGCTTGGAAAAAAGATGCCATACTCTCCCACAGTACATTCCAGTTTGTTCCTGTTAGACCATGTCTAACATGCAGTATAAGATACTTCTGTGAATAAGGAGAAAATGGTCACTGTTTTCCTGCTTTGTATTGAAGTGCTGTTCGTACTACTGTCAAAACTGCAAACAGATTTCAAGGGGAGGAGGAGGAGGAGAGGAGGGGCTGTGCTCCTGGACCCAGCATGAGCCAAAACCAAGCCGGGCTGCCTGCCAGCCTAGCTCCTCACGCACTTGAAATGCAGAGCCTCAGCAGAAGTAGCTCCTAGACCCATTGCAAGCTAGGACTGAGCCAGGTTACTGGCCAGCCTGCTAAAAAATGTACTTGGAGGGTGGGGAGAAATGCGTGTAGTCTATAGCATTAACCTATAAGCTTTTGCTTATCTGTTAATCGACTACACTTTTACATCCCTACAATAAACACATTAATGTAGTATCTTGAGAAGACAAGAATAAAAATAATTGAAGAGAGCCGTGCCTTAATTTAAACCTCTGTTGAAAGAGGTTGAAAAAGCTGACTTTACAGTCAATTTACATTTTCAGACCAATGCCAGATTAGCTGCCCGGAGGTATGGCGGCTGCCATCTTGGTTGACATACCGGGTGCTGAACCAGAGACAGCTAAAAAGCATGAGCTATAACAATTTGAACTGAAGAGCCAAAGCTTTGCAGCTAGGAGCTGTAACAACTCCTGTCCTTTGTGCAGGCCCACCAACAGCAATTCCGGGCCTCAGAACAGAATAGTTAATGGGGCCCCAAGCATGCACAAGCCATGCCCGTGCGGATGTGGTCCGCCTGACATTTGGGCGGTTCTCTGCCTGCACTGGATGGTGTCCACAAGCTGCCGGCTGTGTTACTGGGTTCGATTCCAGGACAGCCAGGAATAGAACCTGCTAGGGTTGCCAACTATGTAACCCAGAGATCCTTGTACTGCCCCTTCCCTGAGGCCCCGCCCCTTCTCCAAGGCCCCACCCCACTCAGCTCTCTTCTCTCTGTCGCTCGCTCTCACTCACTTTCACCCGGCTAGGGCAGAAGGTTGGGGTGTGGGAGAAGGTGTGGGTTGAAAGCGTGGGGAGGGAGTTTGGAGGCAGGAAGGGGTGAGGGAGTTTGGATGTGGGAAAGGGTGTTGGGTTTAGGTTCTGGGCAGGAGTTTGGGTGCAGGAAGGGGTACAGGGTGCAGGATTTGATAGGAAATTTAAGTACAGGGGCTGCAGGGTGTGGGCTCTGAGAGGGAATTGGGGTGCCCAGAGCAAGCTCGGCTGGGGGAGGGGATTGGGGTGTGGGAGGGAGTCAGGGGGTTGGTACTTATTTTGGGTGGTTCCCAAAAGTGACCGGCATACCCCTTGCAGCTCCTATTGGCCACAGTTCCCTTCCAATGGGAGCTGCAGCGTAGGTGCTCAAGTCGGGGGTAGCACTTGAAGAGCCCCCCAGGAGCCATAGGGACTGTGCTGGCTGCTGCTTCCTGGAATCTTTGTCCTGCTGTTCCACCACCAGCAGCGGCTGGGGGGACCAGGGCCCTTTTACATCACTTGGGCCCCTCAGCAATTGTCTTCTTTGTCCCCACACCTCAATTGGCAGGCCTACCTTTGTGGATTGATGCAGAGGGGGACCTATCATACACATTCTCCAATGTGTTATGTAGCAGCATTGCTAGCTGACTGCTCCTGTTTTAACTCCTGGTCTCTAAAACCTGCAGAGAGGGCTACGTTTCCCATACCAACTAGTGTTTGAACCTCAAAACACCTAAGGTGACTAGCACATGACTTCTAGCTGGCGAGATCAGAATCACAAATATTGCAAGTGGGGTAATAGTTTTAAGGAAAGCTGCAGAATTTTAGGGGCAAGCACCTGCCTGTCTGTGTTTATTTTGAACCACGATGACAAGATGGCAGTTATTCAAGAGTTACATGGCGATCGTTTGTGCAGAGCACAGTAATTTGTAACATAATCAAGGATTGTTTGGCTGGGTTTCTGATTTCAGAAGCAGACTTTGGACTTGGCTGACCTAGGAGCTAAATGTAAGGGCCTCAGACACGAGGAGATCATTCAGCGCCAAAAAGACGCACTGACTGAGCTCCGAGAGAGAATCAAGACCCTGGAAAAATCTCAGTCTTTAAGTAAGTCCAGCACCAGGCTGGGAGGGGCAACTTCCTGGGGCCCAGTGAGCTGCCAGCTCCTTTACACAGCACACACACAGTTCTTCTGTGAGAACATTTCTGAGTAACTGTGTATGTGTTGAATATAATTTAAAGTTATCTGGACCCTTGTACAACAGCGAAAGAAATCAAATATGTGATGGTGGGACTAAATGTTCATAGTATTTCATGATTAAGGGTACGTCTACACTAGCTCCCTAGTTCGAACTAGGGAGGCGAATGTAGGCATTCGAAGTTGCAAATGAAGCCCGGGATTTAAATATCCCAGGCTTTATTTGCATGTTCCCATCCGGTCGCCATTTTGAAATCCCACTAGTCCAAAGTAACTGCCCCTGGCTACACATGGCAGTGAAACGGTAATTCGAACTAAGTCCTTTGTTCGAATTAACTGTTTCTCCTCATTCCATTCCATGAGGAGTAACAGTTAATTCGAACTAAGGACTTAGTTCGAATTCCCGTTTCACTGCCGCGTGTAGCCACGGGCAGTTACTTCAGACTAGTGGGATTTCAAAATGGTGACCGGACAGGAACGTGCAAATAAAGCCCGGGATATATAAATCCCAGGCTTCATTTGCAACTTCGATTGCCTACATTAGCCTTCCTAGTTCGAACGAGGGGGGCTAGTGTAGACATACCCTAAGTCGCCAGTCCCTCCAAGACTTACCCACCTGCTAAACATTAAGCACATGAGTAGTCCTATGCCACAGAATGGGAACACTTAGCTGCTCTGCAAATGTGGGGCCTACACCAGTCCAATGTTTAAAGCTAGGAAAGCCAACTACTCTACACTGCAACCATTGCCCTTGTATGGCCAGCCTCTGCTCTTGTTTTCACCAGTGTAACTCCATAGAGTTCACTGGATTTACACTTCTGTAAAACCAGGTCCATAATCAAATGATAACTGACACACATGGTATATCATTCATAGACACTCAAGTGTATGTAACTAGCTACATAGGACAGAGCTATATTCTGCTCAGAGGTCAGCAAAATTAATCCACAAAAAGGATTCTTTAATCGCTATTCACTGTATTTTAACATTCAGGGTACATCTACACTGCAACACTATTCTGAAATAACTTAGTCCGTGTCTACACAGCTGGCAGTTATTTCGAAATAGTGTCAAAATACTGTCAAGCTGGAGGACTTCTTATTCTGATTCCTTTAACCTTCATTGTACGAGGAATAAAGGAAGTCAGAGGAAGAGTGCTCTATTTGGAAATAAGTGCTGTGTAGACGCTCTCTATTTCGAAATAAGCTGCGCAATTGACGTAGCTCAGTTTGGGCAGATTATTTTGAGTTAAGCCCTGCAGTGTAGATGCACACTTAGACCTGAGCAGAGGTCTGACTAGATATCTAAAGATCATGGGACACAGCTAATCCTGATAGAAGCAGATGCGACTCCACTTAAGTCCATAGTTCTGCCTGCTTATACCAACACATTTGGCTTTGTGAGCAATGTTAGTACAGTAAGAAGTTCAATGTATTTTTGCTGTAAGGTTCCTTTTCTGTCTTAATTTAGTTTTATTTAAATTGTCCTCTCTATGTCTACATTTGAAGCTAGGCTGTGATTCCCAGCCCGCATTAACATACTCATGCTAGCTGTCATCCAGCTAACATGCCACAATAGTAGTGTAGCTGTAGTAGTGTGAGCAGCAGCTGCATGTCTAGCCTATGCTGAGTACAAACCTGCCTGAATCCCTTGAGTACATACTTAGCTCAGCTTGCTTGTGCCACTGCTGTTTGTGCTACTCCAGCGACACTCTTATTTGTAGTGCGCTAGCTTGATGAGAGCTAGGGTATGTCTAAACTACAGCCCTCATTCAAAGCAAGGATGTAAATTAGGCAGATCGAAAGTGCAAATGAAGTGGGGATTTAAATATCCCACGCTTCATTTGCATAATCACATCACAGCGATCTTTCGAAAAAGGATATTTTTGTAAGTGAAACTGCCATCTAGACGTGGTTCTTTCAGGAAAAAAAAAACCCTCCTCAGTGAGAAGTACAGGATCTTTCGAAAGAGGGTTTTTTTTTCAAAAGAACTGCATCTAGACCAGTGTTTCTTAAACTTTTTAAGACCGAGGAACACCAAACTATTTTTTTTTATGAGGATTTCTTGTTGAGAAAAAAAAAAAGAAGGTTGGAGGGAAAGTTATTGACCAAAAAAAAGGTCACCTGCCCCTTGAAGGGCCATTTTGAACTCTGTTGTTCTCCACAGCACACTGGTGTGCCACAGCACACAGTTTAAGAAACACCAATTGAGATGGCGGTTTCACTTTAAAAATACCCTTTTTCGAAAGACCGCTGTGAGGCAATTATGCAAATGAGGCATGGGATATTTAAATCCCCGCTTCATTTGCACTTTCGATCTGCCTAATTTACGTCCATCTTTTGAAACAGGGATGTAGCTTAGACATATACCTAGTGTGAGTATGTCTAGCTGGGATCTCACCCCTAGCTCCAAGTGTAGCCTCATTCTCTGTCCAGAATGTAGACATCTTCAGAAAACTACTGAAGATAAATATAATCCCCATAACATTCCGGGCCTAGAATAGTAATTTCCAGTGCAATCCCTACATTTCAAACTTTGAGTACAGCATCTGATTATTAGATTAATTATGGGTTCTCTTTCTGATTTTTATTATAAATACATTGCATGTGTTACCCATTTTGTATTTATATTTTTACAGGAAAATTTTGCTAGAGATTTTGAGAACTATTATTCAAACAGTGTGCTTTTAGTAAGCTCATTACAACTTACATGTGACAATGTAACAACTCTGCGTGGGGGGTTTCTTGTTCCCGTAGCTATGACAGAGAAGGTTCCTGAGTCACTTATAGTGCTAAAGAAAGACCTATCTGAGAAAATAACTCAGAAAATAGGCATAGAAAAGGAACGTGTGCCATCATCAGTGAAAAAAGTGGAGGTCAAGGTAAACAGAATTTTATATATTATATTAATTATGGTTTCATTAGAATACGTAGGAACATTATTACAGTGCAATAAAAAAGCTACAGATAAATGTTCCTTTTTGTCTGACTTTTTAGTACAGTCCTTGAAGTCAGCTGTCTTTATAAAAAGTGACTTCCTGTAACTATATCTATATAGAACTTTTCCAGTATCTCTTTCCTTTAACTCAGCATTACTCAGTGAATGTTCAGTTAACACTTTTAGGTGAGATTTTCAAAGCTGCATAGGAGATTTGAACATCCAGTTCTCAATATTTTTTACTTCAGTAGAACAGTGCTGATTTACCCCATCAAATAGATCCCACTGTGGGTCCATCTTACTATCTGCCTTTAAGCAGTGAACCATTCAAAAAGGCAGCAAAATGTGTGGAATTCCCCTGATAGTGTGAATAATTGTAAAAACAACCCAAAAGAAAAAAAAAACAGAGAAGCCAAATGGTGAAACCAAGTGGTGTTTAAGTGGAAGCGAATGCTTTGGTGCTCACGTCATAGATTTTTAAATCATTTTCTATCTTAAAAAATCAATAGTAATATGGACAAGCTCTAGCTAAAGAGAAATGTGTGCTAGCAGGAAAAAATAAAAACAGCTCACATACGCATATCAGCAACGTCCAGCAACCACTGAGCCAGAGGTGGATCCTAATTAAAAGCAGGTAGAAAGCTTCATGTGGAAGGGTTGTCCCTTTGAGGATGGATAAAGAAGAAAGAGGCATGGTTAACCAGCAATTAGGCATGATTAATATGTTATCTAGTGTAAACGTTATTTGCCAACAGACCCTTTGTTCAGATTCCATACTGTAATTTGCACAACATAATGGGCCTTATGACAGCCTGACATGACACACTTTGATAGTGGCGTAGTGATAGAAATGTAGCTGTGTTAGTCTGGTGTAGCTGAAACAAAAAACAGGACTATGTAGGAAGTGGGTCTGGCCCACGAAAGCTCATCAGCTAATAAACCATCTTGTTAGTCTTTAAAGTACTACATAGTCCTGTTTTTTGTTTTGATAGTGGTGGGTATTTTTGCAGCACAGCTTTGGTTTGTTGAGGTTGTTTTCTTTGTTTTCAGTGGGTGGGAGAAAAGGATTTGGTTTAAGAGTAGAGTAATGGATCTCCTTACTGTCTATTTCAGCTTCCGTCCCGTTGTCCCCACACATATTCAAATGTAGCCTTAGAGAAGACAGCAAAGTTGGAAACGTCTGAGGCTTTAGACCTCAGTGAGAAGATGGTAGGTAAATAAAAGACAAGGTACAGTTATTGTCAGGAATTGTATATTGTGAGTGCTTTTAAAATCAGTTTCAGAAATAGTGATCAGTTTCCAGATACTCTGGGACTTGGGTGTATTTCTCAAGAGTGTGAATTCATTATCTGCAGGAATGATGAAACCCGTTAGCTGCCAGGGAAATATACGGTCTGGGCAGCTCCCATTGGCATGTGTTTCTTTTCTCTTCAATTTTAACTTAAATAAAAAAAAAAAGTTCCCTTAAAAGACCTTAGATCTTTCAATGTCTCCTTAGCCTGGCATTAAAATAAGGCCCAAATGATTAATGTAGCTAGACTATTCTCCATCTAATGGGCTTCTTCTATCGAGTGATAGCTTACTGTTGTGGTTATGTACTGGAATATGCTTTTCCTTAGAAGAGGAGAGTATATGTAAGAGTGGTGGCTAATAGCAATAAATTGCCTGGGACATGGGGATTTATAAAATGTATTTATATGGGTTGGGAGCAAGCGCAATGCTTAACCTTCTCTAAACACAGACACTATGTAAAGCCAAATACTCAGCCCTTTTCTGAGGTTTGGCAATTTAACAATGTTTAGTTCAAGTCTTCTCTCCAAGCTTAGCTGCTCCTAGGATTCCTCCCTCAGAACTGCTCTGCCTATACCTTAGCTCTATGCGAATAAATGGCTGAGATTCCCAGTCTAACTGACTGGAAGTGGAAGATGGAACCAAAAATCCGTGACAACAACAGGATCAATTCTCATGCTGTATCCCGCTGGAAGGAGCTTTTGCTATATGCCTATATCCTATATATCAGTCTCTAGGCCTTTATACCCTGCCCCTTGTCTGAATGTTTCACCTTTGTCAGAGACTTTGCAGTCTTTCCACTTCAAAAAGAGGTTGTGACACCTCTCCACTTACGTGCCCACAGTTCGGGTCTGAGAATGTTTCTACCTGACCCTGCAGCCCCAGTAATGGGTTTGTGAGCCTCTGCTAAGAGCCACTGCCCTAGGACACGGTCAATACGCTGATTCATCTTGTTTCTATTTATACCCAATTACTGCGTGTTGTTTATCTCCTCTTTTTAAAATGTGCTGATCATCATCGAAGCACTGTAAATAAAATCTCCCTATTTTAAACCCAGAAAGGACATTTCATCCTGGTTTCTACTTCCTGGAAACAACACTACATCCGAACTCCAAGGTTTCTAGTCCTTGAGTCTCTGCTACGCCGGCAGTAAGACAATTCAGGAAATAGTGGCTTTAGAATCATTGGATACTGATCCAGTTGTGAGCTTAACTGCTTCACTGTCAGATTAATTTATCTAATGTGAATAATGTTTAACATTGTGAATGAATGTACATATTTGGTATATTATTGTTCTGCTAGATTCCGTAGGAACACACAAAGAGACCAAGGGGGAAATAATTTAAATTTAAATTAAAATGAAGAGGCTTTCACACCATCATTTATGTGATACCTTTTAATCCTTTATACTGAAGCAGAATGAAAGCAGATGGGTTGAGCGGTGTGATATTTTTTTAATTAGGAGTCAGCACACCTAGTAAATAATTCACACTCTCCTCTTCCTGCAGTATCACAACTTAATTCATGCTCTTGGAAAACTGATGAATGTGAAGGAGCTGACAAGAGTTCAGTCTGTTAAGCATCTTTCGCAGGATGAGAGAGAAAAAGTAGGAATGCAACGACAGAAGGACCTTGATCTGCTGTATGATAAGATCTGTAAACTCAAGAGTCGGCTAGAAAGGAAAGAAGAATTATTGAAAGCGTATGAGTCAGACTTTGGACAACTCAGGTAGAGAAAACACATACACTATTTACTAAGAGTCAGAATGGTGGATACAGCTGTTTTAGCAAAAAGACCCAAAACGATGACACAAATTTGTGAGAAATGTAGTGAAAGGAGCACATTTACAATTACAGTTTTAATGTTTGTGTTTCTATAAAAACATTCACTAAGCTATTACATGGAAATAAAGCTGGTGTAAGCTAGGAAATGCCCACTTTCAACTTGATAGTGCTCTAAAATGGTATCTCTAAATGGTATCTTCAAAGGTCACATCACGCTGACCAACAAAATAAATGAAAAATTCTATGTATAAACTAACCATACAGGATTGCGCAATGTCTATTATCATATTAAATACCTGTATGTTATTAGGATTGTCCATTACAAGCTATATATATGGAAACTGTATGCTCAGTTTTTAAAAATGGATATCTTAATAGGACATACAAATTCTGAGCCCCTGTCAGAACTTAGACATTCATTGTAAGCATCCGAGTGCCCATTTGAATTCCAAGTTTAGAGCTGCTCATGTAACTACTTGCCAAAGAAACTGAACTTTGAAAATAGGATCCTACAAATGAAAGTGATGTCTAAGGATTTGCAGTATGAGCTGAGAGACTTCTGCTGCTGCTTCTAGGCCACCATTATTCTGGTCTGTTTTTCCTGTTTGAGGTATATTATTAGTAACAGATATACCAGGAAACATTATTTAGCTTTTAATTATTTAGATGATTCTTTGGAGAATCCATGGCAGTATTGTTCTGTTTAATCATATGTATCACATGTGCTGTTCATCTTGCCCAAGAAAAATGTCCAAACAATTTGGGAAATGAAGCCAAAAATACTGTAGTGTTGGATGAGACTCATTGGAATCACTGGTTTAAAATTCCACCCTGAAATTGAAGGGAAGGTTGAATTTATTTTCCTGCCTATGAAGAAATTCCCATTATAAATGCAAGGAAACATTTTTTAAAAAAAAACCATGTAACCATTCAAATTCTTAGTAGTTACACATACTGCAGGCTCTGCAGTATAAAGTTTATGCTGCTGAGTCCCAGCACTGCCAGCTCCCTGGGAGCGGGGCTGGCAGTCGGAGCCGTTGTGTACCGGGAGCCGACTACAGCTGCTGGCCCCACTCCCGGGGACTGGCTGCTGTTCCGCACTTATACTGCAGACCCTGCAGTGCGTATAACCGCTAGGATTTTTAACAGTTACACGGTTACTTTTTTATGCTTTTTAAAGGATTTTTAAACTTTGAAATCTACAAAATTTCCTGAGATGTGCAGGTATTTTCAACATAATTCTGAAGGAAGGAACTCCAGTTAGCCCCTACTGAGTCTTTGCCTAGTGTTCACAAGTGTACACCCCAAATGCTTTGAATGTGCTATCCTTTCACGCCTGTACTTTGCAGGAAAACATCTCAATATTCCCAGCAAACACACTCAGTAGGTTATCTGTGGGATGATGTTACCCCCTTGCTTGAGGATATGAAAAAGCATTTTTGTTTCAATAAGAAAACCAATGAATAGATTCCCTATCCTTAGCCACTTCTTTCAGCAGAGACGTCCACCCTGAAGAAAGTGGTTTATCAAGGATTAAGCATACTTTTTTGTCGGATGTCCTTGTTAAAATATTTTCAGCGTTTCACAGGAAAAAACAAAGGGGCTGCTCGGTTTATCATGGATTAAGCATACTTTTTTGTTGGATGTCCTTGTTAAAATATTTTCAGCATTTCACAGGAAAAAACAAAGGGGCTGCTTCTCATTTGTACAAAGGCCTTTTCCATGCCTCTGGTAGTGTAAAGGAGTCTTAAAGTGGATGAAAATGTAATTTATCCTCTCTCTTTAAGGCCCCTTACACTTCCCGAGATGTATCAAGGAGCTGTTGTGCAAATGAGAATAAAGCCTGAAGAACTTTCCCTCTTCTGTTTTGTACAGGGCGAATAAGCTGGCTTTGCAAACTTATCAGGCTGAGATGACTAAACTGGAAGATGAAGTCTATAGAGAAGCAGAAGAGAATGCTCTGCTGAAAGAGGCTCTAGAGAGGACACAGTCCCAGCTGAATCAGGAGAAAAGGTTGAACAGAGCCATTAAATTGCAAAAGGTAATTATCAAGGAACAAAAGTCATGACAGGTTTTCCATGAACCTGGTAACTAACCATCCTCTTCTCCCACTGTGTGTGGGACAGTAACCTAAATGTTTGGCAGGCTGACTTTGGATAGATGCTGCTTGGAAACAGCATCAGTGAGGCAGACACAGATGAAAGAGGAGAGTGCTCACTGCAGAGTCTGAGACCCCACGCTGCAATCCAATGCCAGGGAACAAGATGCTGCAAGTTTTGTCTTGGGGTGTGGAGGTGGGAGGGAGCTAATCACAAACAGCAAGTAGGAAGGGCCCCTGTGTGTCTTTTTATGGCATAAGAATGGCCATACTGGGTCAAATCAAAGGTCTATCTAGCTCTGTATCCTGTCTTCCGACAATGGCCAATGCCAGATGCCCCAGGTGCCCATCAGCTTAGTGTGTATCCAAGAATAGAACTAGCTGTCAAAAATAGTAATGTACTTTCTATTTTTCCCTTGATTTCTCTAATCCATTTGTGTAGTATAATGAGCTTGGAGCTCTATAGCTCTAAAAGGGCTAAGTGGTTGTATCCAGACCTTCATGTTTAGTTGATGCGTTGGGTCTTCATCCAAATGTCCCTTAGAAGGGTGAAGTGCATGTGGGGTACAAGCAAAGACAATTCACATTTGAAGGAAATATTAAGATGAAACTATAACTGTCAGCAGTTAGCTGCTTTTTTCATTGCAGCTTGATGTTGGCTATGGGGTATGTGAGTAACTAAGTCCACTTTGCCAGTTTTATCAAACTGGGAGTCATATTTAGTTCTGATGTGTCTCAGCTATATTTTCGATAGGATGTCCAAGGCAAGATTTGCAGTAGGATGTTATTTTACTGGTATTTCCACCCAGAGCCATTTAGAGGAACTGGAGAAGAGAAGTGAAAAGTTGTCATCGTGTTGCGTCTGTTCACAAAAAGACAGAGCCAGGAAGGTATGAATATGTCTGAACATTTGCTCATAGTAGCAAGATCAGTATAATCATTTTGCCTGACTTATAAAGTATGGACTTTAGTCCATCTAATAATTCATTTCTGTGTTATAACACCCATGAATGAAAAGACTGAACTGGCCCAGCAATATCAATGGAGAACTGTGAATAAGGCAATAGTAACATTAATGACAGTGATACAAAGAACTCAAAGTAGAAACCCTATTATACAGACTGGAAAACTGAGGCACAGAGAGGTTAACTCATTCCAGATCATCTAGCCAGCCTGAAGCAGGAACAGACTGTCTCTCCTGATTTCCAGTCCCTCGTTCCAACCAACAGACTATAGCGAAGTAGGGGAAAGCCAATGCTGTGACAGCAGGAGGGAAGCAGAAATGAATTGTGGCAGGGAGAAAATGCACACAGCAGGAGCTTGGGGGGAAACTGGGAGAGGCTGCCAAAGAATGGGGGAGCATGTATTGAATCACCTTAATTAACCTATGCTCTGACTCATACATTCTGTGCTTAATTAACCCATTGATTATAACTCTTCTTTTATAGAACCTGGATAAAGATTTCAAAAGTGCTTGTGTCCCACTAATAGCCAAATGAGATTTATTTTGCTTAGGCCCTTTAAAAAAAAATCGCATCCTCCACTTCTGTAGGAGACATTCTTGAATCATGATCTACCTTCTCTGAGGCCGAGGGGGTTCATTTGTAAATCACACTCCGTTTACGGAATCTAGAGGTCCCCATATCTCTACTTGAAACAGAATTGTGATGTGAAACATCTGCTGTGTTCTTATGAAAATACCTTGTCTAGAGGGGTTCGATGATCTTTCTGTTGTGGATGTGGCCACACCATTTGCTTTAAGCATCTATAAACATAAGCAGAGTTCCCTGTAAGCTGAACACCTGGGCGGCCACTTAGGAGAGGGTCGAATGCCACCCCGCTGATTAGCAGTGTGCCCAGATTGCCCACAGCCAGCAGCATATGTTTCTGTGGGCAGTGCACATTTGCACATGCCTTGGTGCACATAACAAAATGTGTTCTGCACATGGATGGAAAAAATTGAGCAAACATTGAACATAAGGTATTATATTTTACTTTTTGTCAGGTAGGAAATATTATGATGTTGATATACCATAGAGGGGAATCACTCTGATAAGTGGTGCTTTAGAACTTTTATTATATTTGTAATTCGTTTTAAAGATCCATCTCCTGGAGTCATTTGATTACCTGAGATTTTCAGCATTCATTTTTATTAAAAAAAAACTCTGGCCCTCATAGTGACAGAGAAAAGCCTTAAAACATGATCCCCAAAGGCTCAAAATTTCGAAGGCCAAAGAATAAAAAGAACCGAAAGTGTATTATCTTTTCAGTTCTCATGATTTCTTTAAGACAATGGCCTCAGTATAGGAGCCTGACTCATGATATTTGAATGCTTGGGATTGGCAGGCCTCAGAATTTGTTGTCACAGACTGCACCCTCACAATCACCCTCCTTTCACTGTGGGACACTGGTTTTAGTTCGCCTGGGGCAAGGATATATGGAGGATATCTCAAGGCAGGGCTATGAACCAGTAACTGGTAATCTTCTTTACTGATCTACACCCACCTTCTCTCCACAGCTCAGTGAAATCGTTAACATTTCCTAGGCAGTCCATGCGGATGGAACAAGATAATTTCTTTGTGATTTGTTGATTATTGTTTAGTTACTATACAGCTCCATGTAAGCTTGTGGTGTTGCACAAATAATATCTAGCAGTCTCCTGTGGGGGGAGGAAAAGAAGCTAGTACATTTTATCTGTACTAACAAGCAGATGTTTCAAAAAGTAGGATCCAGCACCACATTCCCTAGATCAGATAGTAAGGATTATAAAGGGTAAGTCACGCATAACAAATCTGATTAACTTCCTTGAGGAAATGAAAATGAGAGCTGACAGGAGAGAGGCAGCAGACGTCAGCTACTAGGAGTTCAAGAGGGTTTAAACGCCGTACCACCAAGGGAGAGAAGTACTGGGCATAAGATTAGTAATTACAGCATTAATGATGAAAAATGGCACAGTGACACTGGTTAGAGGAGAGGTGATGAGTGATGCAGGGATTGTCCTAACCTCCTAATCACACTCCTGAGAAAAGAACTTGCAGTTGGGTGTACTGATTTTCAGACCAATTGCAACTGGAAGGAAAACCAGGACCTAAATGAGCAGAGCTTATTCAGGAGAGAGAGAGAAGAGAGTGAAGAAGCAGGGAAAGGGATTCCAACTGATAGTCACGTGCAGTGTGTTCACGAAAAGGAAGTGGTGACAATAGTGAAGAAAATATTTCTAAAATACTTCACCTCCCTCTCTCCTACTTCCTTTGGCTCTGTACAATCACCTGGATCATCTTATAAAGTTGTGCCCCAGTATCCAGGCCGTTCAGACTGCAGTCTAGTTGGCATTTGAGGAGGTCACCAAAGACAAGTTAGCAGCATGCAGTGGGACTGGCATTCTCCTACAGTCTCAGCACTGCAATAAACAGGAGTATAGGTCATCGAGATTAAAGTGCAATGGCAGAGCTGTGTGGGGCTGCTCATGGCGTGTCAAAGGACAGAAGATAATTGTCCCCTCTCTGATGAGGCGTGGGAGTGCTGTGTCCAATTCAGGGCACCACACTTGAGGAAAGATGTGGACAAATCAGGAGAGAGCCCAGAGGAGAGCAACAAAAATGATAAATGATGTAGAAAACCCAACCTTTGCAGAACAATTAAAGTGGTCAAGTTTAGTCCTGAGAAAAGAAGACTGAGGAGGAACCTGATAACAAGCTTTGACTCTATTAAGGGCTGTTGTGAAACAGATGGTGATCAGTTGTTCTTCGTGTCCAGTGAAAGCAGGACAAGAAGTAATGGGCTTAATCTGCAGCCAGGATGGCTAAATTAGATATTAGGGCCAAACTTTATAATTGTCAGAGTAGTTAAGCTCTGGAATAGGCTTCCAAGAGAAGTTGTGGAGTCCTCATGATTGGAGGTTTTTAAGATCAGGTTGGACAAACACCTGTCAGGGATGGTCTAGCACAGTGTTTCTGAACGTGTTCCGTGAAATCACTTTCAGAAACACATTAACTGGCTGCCCCAATTTATTTATTCACTGGCTCCATGGCCACGGAGCCTCGCGGCTCCCATTGGCTCCGTTTCGTCCTTTGCAGCCAAAGGGAGCCGCGGGAAGCGGCGTGGGCTGGGCCACCGCTCCCCACGACTCCCCTTGACTGCAAAGGACGAACTGGAGCCAATGGAAGCCATGAGGCTCCTTGGCTGCAGCGCCAGTAAATAAACAAACCGGGGCAGCTAGTTAATGTGTTTCTGAAAGTGATTTCACAGAACACGTTACGAAACACTGGTCTAGCAGGTTTACAACGCAGGGGCTGGAGTCTGGACTTGATAACTTCTTGAAGTCCCTTTCAGCCCAGCATTTCTTTGCTAGTGTGGTTTAACCCAGCTCTCTCGATAGCTCATTGTTTCAAGGATTAAAATGAATTGTTAAAAATGGCGCTTAAAGTTTGGTTCTGAGAGTCATAGTTTGGCATTGTAAGCAGTTTTCTTAAGCAGCTTCCATACGCTAAACTGGGGCGTGTCTCATCCAGGCTGGCCATCTGTGAGCCGCACCAACGCGGCGCAGGCATTGTGTACATTTGCACCACTGCACCTGCTTTTACTGCTGCCTGGTACACGCTAGCAGTCTATACTACCAAGTTTACCGGTTGGTTTAAAGCTGCATTGATTGCATAAGACTGATGTGATGAACACTTATGAGCATGAGAAGGACAGGAAAGATCAGGCTCACATTGTACTCCACAATGTTGTCCCATCTAAGAACCATTTTTAATCTTTCTGTCTCACAGCCTGGACCCAAAACGAAATCATTCCCCGAAAAACTGAAGACAACAGACCATGTGATAGAAACATGTAAGAGGAGAACACTCAGTAACACCACCCCATAGGCATTTCTCCTGCAAAATCCTGTGCTAGGAATTTGCCAACTACTGTTTGGGTTAGACCTGTTATTGTATTGTTCTGCTGAGAACCCATTTAGCCCTTTGTAAATACATGAAATGCTGCAGTATGTATTAAATTACATAGGATTTCTTTTTCTTAAATTTGTTGCATTATGTACTGTATTGTATTTTTGCCATTATCAGAAGTGTACAGAAAATGGTCATTTTAATACAAACTGATATATAAATTCAGAAGTGTGTATTTTTCATTTTATAAATAGCCCTTTTAAATAATCTCAAACTCCTAAACCAGGGGTCTCAACTCAATTGATTTTAGAGCTAATGCCAGTCCCCAAATCCTCATAGCAGGCCAACGGGCACCCTCTCATACAGAGTCTGAAGAGGAGTGTCTCCACAATTCCCCCCGCCCCCTACATGTCTCCTGGCCCCACCTACTGACCCCCGCACTACCCCGGCATGCATTCTCCAGCCCCACCTGCTGCCCTGGGCGATTAAAATCTTCCCCCCCCCCCCCCCCTCTTTCCCATGCTTTTCCGCTCTCTAGAGCTTCTAGCTGCTAGCTATGAACCACTACCAGCACGTCCCTGTGGCCCATGGGAGGTATGTGCAGATCCATCCTGTCCATAGGACAGTTCAGTCCCCCAGGCACCATGTTTATGGATGGGATGGTCATCCATACTCATATTAGACTACAGGTTAGATGCTCCGCCACCATTTCCCAATCCAGCCCACAAGGGGGCTCTCTGCTTCCCATCACTGCAAAGAAGCAGAGCGACCAGCCACGGAGTAAAACCCACCAACCCCTGCACCAGAGACTGAAGCCAATGAGGTCAACATGGAGCAGCAGCAGAGCACAGCAGAGGCTGCTGCATCGCTCTGCTTCCCCTCAGCTCTCGCCGCCGTCACCCCCCACCAGGCCCACCCCAGTAATCCCTGAGGTCACATCCCTCAGGGGAGGAGGCCTGAGGGAAGAAGGGATGTGATGGGGGGGGGGGGAAGAGGGTGGAGCAGGGGTGAGAATTAGAGGAAGGGTCCAGATCATTCCCAGTCCCCCTCCCAGGACTGTAGGGACTCACATGCCACCAGCAGTGTGCAGGCTGGATTGTGGATCTGCGCAGGCCACTGATGGCCTCCAGGCCGTGTGTTTGAGACCCTTGTCCTAAGGTCTGTTTAGGTTACATTTTGTTACGCTGTTGTCACTCACCTGGGTCCTGACACAACCCTAAATCCCAGTAGATCTATAGTTGGGTTCCAGCATGAAGGATGTAAAGGAAACTGAACCACCAGGTTCTGGCTGCTAAATTGCAGCATTGTATAAATGTGACGGCACAGAACTGTTTTGGGTGTGTTGTGCATGTAACTGAGTGGCTGAGTATATGTAATTACAGCCAAATAAAAGAACCCTGTTAATTAGGGATGTGAATAGTTAACCGGTGAACCGATATGCCTAACCCTTAACAGGTGAGACTTACCCATTCTGGTTAACCGGTGGGGAATGGAGCAACTCCCTGCCCACCATGGGCAGAGACGCTGCACTGGTTGGAGCAGCTCCTGTCTGCAGTGAGCCTGGCCTGGTTTGTGTTCCCCCTCTGCCCCTACCCCTGGAGCAGTAGGTGTGCTGCAGGCAGACGTACTCCAGCCAGCTGGAGCAACCTCTGTCTATAAAGGAGGAGCCACTCCAGCCTGGCCGTGGGGAGGGAGCCAGCCCACCTGGGCTGGAGCAGGCCCCCTGCCCAACCTATTTTAATTGGTTAACTGGTTAAACATTACATTTAACCAGTTAACCAGTTAAATGGGATTTTACATCCCTACTGTTCATTGACTCCAGTGAAGACAGAACAGCAAGGGCTCAGCTGTCTGTTACTCCGATCAGATGTATTATTACTATAGCATTTTTGGAAATTAAAGGCTATTTTCCTTTGCACAATCTTGCTAAGCAGTGAGGCAAACGTTCGCCTATTCACTGCTGGGGCTCTGCCATAAGCAAGTGGTTCTGGTACACACTGTACCATAATCATTTTCCCTTTATTGTATTCTGAACAGCTTGCATAAACCCTTTCCGCAATGGGTAATCTGGAGTCTAGGTTGTATAGATAAAATCTTGCTATATTGCAAATGGTCTACATTGGGCATTAGCAAACTGGCTCATTAATGCTAAAGTGTGCCATGTGTGGACATGCTGTTTGAGTCTCACTGCTAATGCTATGTCTGGGACAATAGTGAGTAGCCAGTAGCTCTTTTCTAATGCAGACCTTTTGGTTTAGTTCCTAACACACGAAGTCAAGTCTGTCTCTCTTTATGACTTGGCCTATTTTTCTTTGATAATATGCAATGTGCTTCCATCGGTACAATGTCCTGAGTTTATTTTGGGATGATACATGACCTCGTGTGCCCATTTTATTTTAACGTTTTGCTATGACTCTGTCCATCTGTTCTGTTTGAACCTTTGCAGCAGTTCTTTCTTGAGGGTTTTTTGGCATCGTTATTTTGCAGTCCTCATATATTGCCCTTCCTCTTGCCCTATAACATTAGCTAATTTCTATAGCTGTAGTACCCTTGAATAATCTGGTTTTGGCTTTGGCTATTGCTTCAGTATTGTCTCAAGGATTTGAAAACTCTCATCTGTCTCTTGCTTGCAATACATACAATTTTCTGGTCAGTCACTAGTAAGGTAAGCTACCATGTGCTCCATTATTTCATATGCTTTTTTCCCTTTCATATTCTTATCCATTGCTTTCCCCATTGCTGTAGATGTAACTTTGCTACAAGTGGGGTACTTCTAAGTCATCTCAGAATCTTGAGCATAATTCTTTTAATCTCCAAAGGGCAGTCACTCAGTGACTGCATAAAGAGTAATTCATGGCTTATAGTCAGTTTCAGACTCTTAATAGTCTAATTAAATGATTCTCAAGCAAATACAGATTGAACCTCTCTAGTCCGGCATCCTTGGGAACTGACCAGTGCCGAACCAGAGAATTTGCCAAACCACAGGAAGTCAACATTGTCTAACTGCATTACCAACACTGCTACTGATCCCTGGGCTCTTAGAAGACATTTAGGGGTAAATTAAAGCTAATGGCAGCACAGAACACTGAGAGCCAGGACTGGTGGCTGTGGACAAACTTTATGGGACCACAGGAAACTTGGCCACACCCATGATAAGTGGACATCCAGCTAACTAAAATCAAGCCAGACCATAGATGTTGTTGGACCAGAGACTGCTAGACTAGAGAAGTTCAAGCTTTACAATGTTTAGCAGTTTTTTTTTGTCTGTGTCTAATTTCCTTATGTCAGTCAAGGTAGTATCAAAACAACAGGTCGTCACTGATCATCGGACTTTTGTTTGAGTATGTGTTCTAGATGTTTCAAGACATTTTGCCACATAGGGAAACTGAAGGTTACACCATTGCTGCAAAGTTCTGACGATACCAACAATCACTAGCTTTGCCTTGAGTGTTCAACATGTGTTGCCTAAAGTCTAGTAACTTCAAACAGTCTGAGAAGTTGAGGAAGCAAGCTCTGCAACTTGATGCATTACTGTTCTTTGGAAATTGTTAAAAATCTCTAAATAAAGTAAATTTGGCCTGATTTTTAGAGATACTGAGCAACACCAGCTTTTGGTAGAAGTTGGTGGGAATACATATGTGCCCAGCACCTTTGAAAAAATCAAAGCTTTTTATTTTTAAAAAGTTTATTTTCACTAGGCTCCCTGTTCTCAAAATTCAGTGCACAGAGCCAATGTGCTACAATAACCAACAGCACACATGGAAATATCGACATCTTTGCGATTCACACTTGCATCAAGTCATTATTCTAATTCTGCATTTGGCATCAGCGCACCTGCTGCTGGAATACTGTGTTCAGTTTTGGTGCCCATCATTCAAGCCGGGAGTAGCTACATTGAAGAGGGCTCAGAAGAGAGTCACACGAATGATAATGGATTAGAAAACGTGCTTTATGGTGAGAAGCAAAGAGCTCAATCTGCTTATTCTAACAAAGAGAAGGTGAAGGGATGACTTCATTACGGTATCAACATGGGAAACAGATATTTTATATCTTTAGTTCTAGGGGAACAAGGTATAACACAGCCCAGTGGTTAGAAGTTGAAGCTAGACAAAATTCAGACAGGCATTAAGATGTACATTTTTGACAGTGAGGATAGTTACCCATTAGAACAAATTTATCAAAGGGTATGATGCATTTTCCATCACTGACAATATTTACATCAAGATTGGCTGTTTTTCTAAGAAATCTGTAGGAATTATTTTGGGGAAGTTCTCTGGAACATGTTAGACAGCTGGTTAGACTAGATGCTCACAGTGTCCCTTCTGCCTTTGAAATCTATGGAACAAGTTCTTCTTTATAGCTTTGGCATATTTGTTTGCTCTGCTAATTTCTTCACCAAAGCTACGTACTTCTGAAAAGTCACTCCACGAATTCCTAAATGTTCTTCAATAATTGCATCTCTAGTACAGTGAACTGCTACTTTAATTCAATATCATTTCCATGCAGTGTAGCCTGGTGGGGCTTTTATGTGTGGGGTTATTTTTCTTAGTGCCAGGCCATTGAAAAGGACACAAAACAGCCACGCTTTTAACTGCTGTTCTCAGTTCTCTCCCACTCATTCAGTCAGGCATCATGTTGAAACCAGGAGGTTTTGACAAGAGACTGGCATTCAAAAATATCTGTTGCAAGTCAGCCAGCTACCATGCTAACGTGTGATATTCTCAAAACAGCTGGTGACGAGCATAAATCACCTTTATCAAAACTCTATTGCCAGAAGACTTAAGACTTTAACCAAAGAAGAATAATTTATAGCCAACAAAAGAAGAATCTGTATCTTGTTGAATGCTCAAAGCGATCATTAAGGGTGATCAATTCAGCTGAACTCAGCCCAGGCCTTGTTTTTACAGGCAGAAACCTCAGCTGTAGCTACCTGCTTACAGCTGCTCAAGTAGTCAGTTTTGCATCAGCAATTAAATTGTGGGTGCATATCTTTTAAAATATACCCCTGAATATAAGACCTCACAATAGGCTCACTCCCACAGGTGACTTCCTTTTTGATTTTCAAGTCATTAAAAAGTTCCTGATGGAGCCATATTGGCCTATTCCTGTTCTTCCCATCTTTCTTTCACATCAGGGTAGTTTGCTGTTTTACAGTTAATATTAATTTAAGATGAGAGTGTACGTGTACCCTTAAATACAGTGTTTCT